CTGGAAGTGGATAGGACACACATTGAAGAAAGCACCAAACTGCATTACAGGGTAAGCCCTCACATGGAATCCTGAAGCCGTAATGAGAAGAGGAAGACCAAAGGAACACATTAATCCGGGAAATGGAGATAGACATGAGAAAAATGAACAAGAATTGAATAGAACTAGAAAAGAAGGCCATGGACGGAGTGGGTTGGAGAATGCTGGTCGGTAGCCTATACTCCACTAGGGGTAACAGGCGTAAGTAAGTAAGTAAGTAAAGTATCTTGTTATCATGAGAATATAAATCAAGGTTATAATATAAATCTTTTTGAAAAATGAAATGATTTACAGAATAAGTATAATGAAGTTATATTTGTTACAAGTAAATTACAAATTATTCTTGACGACAAAATTTATTGATTTTTAATTTTCAGATTTATTCTCACTTTAAATGTTCTTTTAATAAAGTCAGTCCGTCAATCAGTCAGTAACAACGTAGAACTTCGTACGTACGTACATCAGTTCGAGTTGCCACACCACATAAGCACAGACATGCAGTTGTCGATTCAAATCCCGTAGTGGTAGAGGTAATAAGAGTATAAGCAGTAATCGGGAAGATTAGGGTTTGGAGATGTTATTCAAGGAGTATAATCCAGTGAAATAAATTTGGAAAGAGGAAAAAAGGGACATGAAGAATTCAGAAGATTCGAATTTGGGAGAACACAGAGAGTGGATGCACCTGCGCCATTGCAAACGATTTTGAGCCATGTCATTCAGGGTCTCTAACCATCGGTTGCTATCATCTCGCGGTCCCCAACCAGGTAGTCTGCACCTACCAACATGACTCAGTCCACTTGTCAGTGACTTCATGGACTTGTGCCATGTTTTGGTCTGGCCACCCCTAGCTTTCTTCCAACCTACTCCTATACCACTGAACATAGCACGTCGAGGCAGTCGGTCGTTGGGCATACGTAACACGTGTCCCAGCCACCTCAACTGATGAAGTTGCACTACTTCATCAATTGATTTGCTATCCTTACCTAGTACCCGTTTCCTAACAACTGTGTTACTTACTCGATGGTCCCAGGATATACGAACAATGTTTCGAAGACACCTATGATCGAATACTAGTAGCCTACGAATATCCTCTACTCTTACCGGCCATGTTTCACTGCCATAAAGAAGGACGGAACGAACTGCTGTGCAGTAAACCCGTCCTTTGGTTGATAGACGGATATCTCGCCTACGCCATAAATGACGCAAGTTGGCAAAAGCTAGTCGAGCCTTCTGTATCCGTGCTGAGATTTCGTAACACACTAAACCACAATGGCTGATGAGACTCCCCTAGATAAGTGAAGCAATCGACACGCTCAATTACTTCACTCCCTATCACTAGTGCGGGTGTCGATGTAACCCAATCCTGAAGCAACATTTTGCATTTCGAGGGGGAGAATCGCATCCCAAACATGCTAGCATTGTTGCTTAGAGTGGTCAGAAGACTCTGCATTTTGTCAGCGTCTTCACCAAATAAAACTATGTCATCTGCATGTTCTACGTCAACAAGTGAACCTCCTGGTAGAAGTTCAACCCCTGGAAATTTAGATGAGGAGAGTGTTATCTCTAAAAGTACGTCGACCACAAAGTTTAACAAGAATGGGGAGAGTGGACAGCCCTGACGAACACCACTTGAGGTAATCAATTCTGATGACAGTTCGCCATAAGCTCTCACTCTACCAGTTGTGTTCGAGTAGAGAGCCTTTACAAGGTTAATGTACTTCTTTGGTACTCCTTTCAGTGACAAACACTGCCATAGAACCTCACGATCAACAGAGTCGAATGCCGCCTTAAGGTCGAGAAATACTACCATTGTGGGGCGTCTGAATGTGTGTCTGTGTTCTAGAACCTGACGTAGTGTGAATATCTGATCTATACAACCACGTCCAGGTTGAAAACCGGCCTGATAATAATAATAATAATAATAATAATAATAATAATAATAATAATAATGAAAATTAATATTTCAATATGTCCAAAAATATTAAAATGCATAAAAGTATACCATATATCCCATTGAGGGTGTAACTTGTAGTTATTTTTAGGAAGTTTAACTTTTTTTGTATATACTTGATAAAACATAAATTATAACAAGACCTCAAAATCACTACAGATACTTTGTTTCAGTGAACGGATCCAACTGTAGAATTACTACAAACTAGAAAGTATTGAATGATTTCTTTTATGATTGATTTCTAACCTTTCATCTATAACTATTTTGTAAATGAATTTCATGAATGTTTTGTAAATAGATGTGAATTGTCGAGTTAATAATACTGATAATGATAACAAAGTGATTGACTGATTAGTGTCAATTTGAAGTGTTATATAGGGATGGGTTGTAGAAGAAAAGTATTCTGTTCTTTTATGTAATACGTTTGTCAGCTTGCTTAATGAAACATATTTTTATGTTGTAATTAAAAGAATAGAATAGTAAATAAAGATAGTATTTTTAGTAATTAATGAGTCCTAAATAAGAGAAAATATACATTTTGGATTCCACTGCTCGCCACTATTCAAATTTAATTATAATAGTTATTGTAATTACAAACTTCAAGTTTTTTATTAACTGAAATATTCACCTTGAACTGTTGCTAGTCTATAAAATCCCTTATATACACAAAAACCTTGACTTTATGCATTTCGAAAAGTGGTATACAGATGAAACCTTAGAACTTCGCTTAATTTTTTATGTGTTACAAGGTAGTATTTGTTCGAATCTTCTAAACATTAGTTCGGATTTCTCTCTGGTTGATGTTAAAAAACTTTAGTTATAATTTCAAATGAATCTCAGACAGATTAAACGCTGTTTTCTTGTAATTTTCAACTAATGAATAGAGTATGTATATTGTGTGGTAAAGATAAGTTAGCTTAGATAAGATAGAATTCCTGATGTTGATTATTACGAGACATAAGTTTACAATGAAAGGTATTGAGATTTACTTGATATAATATTTATGATTACGTATAATTATGTAAGTAAATGTGTAGTTTTATACATTTATATGAAAAATTTCATTAGATAATGGGAAAATTACAATGAACTGAGGAGTCCCATACTAGGACGAAACGGCCGTCCAGTGCTTCCAGGTTTTCCATGGTGGTCTAGCTTCAATTGACTCATGATTTGAATCTGTGGAACTATTAAATGTTTATGAACAAGTTGCCTTATTATAAAACTAGTTATATATTGATATTTATTATTGTGATTTGATAATTATCTCATTTAGAAGGTATCACAGTAGTTTTACCTTATTGAATAGATTTGTATGTTCCAACTTGCCAGTATAAAAATCTCATAATAATATTTTTTGTTTTCGTAAATATCAAACAATACTTCGAAAGTGTTCTATTATCAAATATCAGCCATCTCTATTCATGTTCTACCCCCCATACATAACGTCTCAAAAACGATTAATTGATTCCAAGTAAACTGTTGCACCATAATATCCACATTTTGACAAATCAAAGAAGCATCTGTCCGTAATCTAACTTAACTCTGCATCAAATAAGGTCTTATTTCTAATCCCATTCTATTTCTAATTCATTTCTATTGTATTTCATTCTAATCATAAGGATATGAAATTTTAGTTTCTAGAAAATATTCATGACACAGGGTTAGTAAAAACTCTTTATTAAAATATGAAATATATACGAAAAGTACATGTACAATAGCATTCAACTTTCAGTATGATCATTTATATCCCAAATGTTCACTAGTGATATAAATCAGTAAATGAATACTTCGTATAAATTTAGTCAACTTTTCGCAGTGTTTAATAAAAGTGTAATATCTAGCATTTTTGAACATTTTTTCGTTCATTTAGTTGATGAGTGCTACATATAAGACCATGATTTGCACTGAGGTTGTGAATCTTCATCGACTGAGATGGTTAGGCCACGTGTCACATATGTCTGAACACCTAGTGCCACTACACGCAATGCTGACTAATGTTGGGGATAGTTTTAAGAAAGTTAGGGGCTGCCAAACCAAAACAAGGAATCAGTGCTTGAAGTCACTAACTTCTGGTCTTAGCCACGTTATTAAATGCAGACTACTTGGTTGGGGTCTGCAAAACTATTGTAACCAATGGTTGGAGACTCTGGGTGACATGGCTTAGAATCGATCACAATGGAGTCGGTGTATACACTCTTTGTCTCCTCCTAAACTATGAGATTAAAACTACTTCATATATTTCTACGTACTAACTCTTTCTTCCTGTACTACATCCTTATATTCAATCTTTCTTTTATATATTACCACCATTGAATTAACTACTTCTATTAATCCGGTGTTCATCTTGTTGTGCTAATGCGGTATAGCAACTTGGACCGATGTATATATGTGCCTGGTCCTACGTTGTAGCTGCCTGACTGACTGAGGATTTCATTTCATTCGTCCAAATCTATCTACATATCTTCTATGAATATACCACTGTAGTTCACCCCAACATACTGGATGAAAAAAAAGCAGATAAAGTAAAATTTATGGCATGAAATGAAATCTTTAGTAAAAATTATAGCTCTTAAATCTAGTACACATTGACTCAATAAATAGAAGAATGCCTGATACTATACACATTAAAGATTGAAACACATATGGGCCACCAATTCATAGATATATATCGTATATCAATATTTCTTTTTTAACATCTTTAAATACTTCATTATGTAAAAGTAAATTGTTCTATTCAAAATAGTAATATAAATAAACATTTTTTAAAATTTCATACTAAACAACTGATAGTTGAAATCAAACTATGATTATACATTATTATATAATACATTGAATAATCATAGAACAAATTCTAATCTGTCATTTTATTTATATTCTTAACCAATAGGAATACAAGAGAGAGTTCTAAATAGAATCACTGAAAGATCTTATATATATATATAAACACTAAATATTTTCGAAATAGAAATTTATCTTGATTAATGAAACATCTAAATATGAGGGATTTAAACAAAACAATAATTGTAATAACTAAAATGATCAATTTTCAATACCCTGTTTAATGTGTAAATATTATTCAGTGAACAAAAGAATTTCATACAGACTTTATCATTATTATATTTGATGTATGTTTACTAGTTTATTGTATAAGCTGGCGCTTTAATATGGTGATATAATAAAAGTCTTCTTTTCAATCTATACATTAAATTATCAGTAAATTCTACTGATTAGTGGTACAAAATCAATGAGAAAAGTTTTGACGAAAGGTTATCATTTAATTTTGCTTTTTGTTTTTAAAAAAACTTGATATTATTCTTGTTGATTTCGTCTTTCTGCTTGTAAAGCTTTAAGTCGTTCTAATTCTGATTGTATTAATCGAAATTCTCTATTGGCTTGTTCAATTTCATAAGCTCGTATTGCTGCTTGCCAACGATAATCTATAAAATTTAAATAATATATATCTTATTAAAAAGATTACATAGAATAGTTATATATTATGAATTATAAAAAAACGAATTAAAACAAAAATGAATATACTACTGAATTGGTAGCATTGGGAGGTCGTTTCATTTTATTATGAAACTCCTCAGCAGTGAGGATTCACGATCCCGCATGCATGATTCAAACCCAGGATTGGTTGTAGTTAGACATTAACACCATTGGGTGCTGGCTAAGTGGTCTAGAGGTTAAGAGTCCATACGAGAAACTGAAAGTCCTGCGTTCGAATCCCAGGTGCAGGGTTGTGGATGCGTATTGCTGAAGAATTTCCTACTAGAATGAAATATTCATCTATTGTTTCCAGATTTTCCAGGGTGGCCTAGTTTAAATCATCTCATAAATCCGACCATTAAAAAAGTATTGTAAACAAGGAATTTTAAAACTTAGCACCTATTTAATGAAATATATTTGCTGCTTCAGATAATTTATTATTTAATTTCAGTCTCATTTTAAGCATGAAAGAGCTTATATTTTCTAAATAAATTAAAAAAAGAAATACATTACTATTTCATGATTTAATAAATATTTTATTGTTATGGCAATAATTGATTGTTTAATCAATCGATAATGAATGAACGCTTCAATTCATTTAAAATTATTCATTAATTTTATTTGTTTAACTGTAACGGACAGAATAAAAATGGAAATGATCAAAATTTAATTCTTATAATTCTAATTTTTGTATGTTTTTCCTTTTTTTTCCAAAAAAAATTTAAAAAAAAATGATGTTAGGTAATAAAACAATTAACTAGAATTAAAGTTATACAATGTTGAAATGAAGTATAGGAATTAAAAGAAAAAAAACAATCTCCCATTAATCTTGCATACACTACTATTACTGCTATTATTATTATTATTATTATTATTATTACTCTGCTAATTTGACCATTAATATTACTGAAAATAATAAAGTACATTTTTAATGTTTTATTATTTCAATACGACTAATTATTGTTACAGAGTTGCCTAGCAGCAGTAACCATCTACACTTGATTCGTAGTAGTTATTATTCACTCAAATTATTACAATATTATAATTTTACCAAAGTAAAGAACAAATGAGGAGAAATGAAGGTTGTTTTTTTTAAAATAAAAGGAAAAACACAAAAATGTATTGTATATTCAATGTATACATTCGTCATTTCTATGTCATTTTATAATAAACCATTGTTAATACCATAATTAACTATATAATTGTTAATAATTCTTCTGTTTAAATATAGTTTAATTTATTCGAAAGGTGAAAATCTACTTAAGAACTAATACAGATTAAGATAATGGGAAAATGTTAAAAAATAGTAATATTTGACTGACTTTATTTGGTTATAAAGTATGGAATATTGAATATAATATATAGATATTTCATTTCGAACTTAATGCCTTAGGTTATCACTTGTTTCCTTTGTATTATTATTTGAACAGGCTTTAATGAAACTGTTATGTCCCGATCAGCATAATGAATGGTAACTTTTGGGATCTATTTATGGATCAATACTATACGTACATTTCTATTATATAATTATTAAATAACTAAACTATTCATATTCATGTCCCTCTTATTATGAGCTTTATTTTAACCTATGAACTATTATTATACAATTTACCATTCTTGAATTATACCCTGTCTATTATTTACTACCTCCCAAATTCACAGACATATTTGGCCAAATCTTGTATAAATGTTGTTTCCTATTTTATTGGTACGATGTAGTCTATTTGATCGGTATATAAACCGAGTATGTTTGAAATAAATGATTCATACTGCAGAGGCTGAGATTGGTGTTCTGGACTTAACTGGCTGGGCTAGGGGGAAAGCAGGGCTAATAAGGACTCTAGACTGCTCGTAAGTGTTTTACGCGTCATTGGTCGGATCGATAATTCACTGCTCTCTAGTCGGCAGTATCGCTACGTTATACATTAACAGGGCATACAGGCCGCAAGTTATAACAGAAACATTTAAGCCTATAAAAATGTTAAAATTTGATGTTAATCTGAACAGATCATAGAATTTTTTCTGTTTTTCATTATATCATAGAACATTTGTTGTTTGTATTTCATGAATTAAGCTACAAGAGATAAGAGACTTTGAGTTTTAACAGCTTTAACGCAGTGTAGTGACTCACAATTATCACGAGAACACGACTGGTTTAATAAAAACAATTATTATTATAACCAAGTGTACCAGTGACTGTTTTAATGTGCTTTTGTTTGACTGTGCTAATGACAGCTATTTTGTGCTTCCATTCTTTTACTCACACTTCGATTGTAACTTCGCGCGAATTCGGTTACCTTCTGTAACCAAGGTTGTATCCTGGCACGGTCTCGGTATCCTCTCGATACCACGAGATCGCTAGCAAATATACACCTCGATTTGGTCCATTAATTGCCTTCTGATATTCGGCTTCTCGGGGATTTTATGGATCTATTTGGTTACGTCCAACCCTCGCCTTCTGATTTATTTGGTACGTGTTTCTCTGTAGCGGTGTTCATAGTTAACCTCGACTCGACGCCACGCTACAGCAGCACATATTGTCAAACGATGAAATTTTAAAAGATCACTTTATAGTCAATCACCTTCCTATACTAAACAACCATCTCTTTGGTAATTTACTCATTATGTTTGCTGAAGAATTCATATTCATCCAAACAGTTCTAATACTCTTGATTATTCTGTCAAATGGATCGAATTTTAGTGTGTTATGGTCTGAATCATTAAAAGCTGACAAAAGCGTCTTTTTGATGAATCATACTAAGCACAAAATATGAGTACACATATCCCTACTAGTTTATTTCTATGATCGAAATGTGTACACTTTTATTTAATTACTGTCATTGTAGGAAAATGACAGCATGTAATATTATATTAATAACGGAAGATACTCAAATGAGTAAACTTGAAACTTGAATCAAATTTTCTTCAACGGTACATTTGTATCAAATTTAATTATGTCCATGAAGTAAATAACCCAAACTCGACCAGTTTAAAGGCTAATGATCTTCTTAGACATTTCATTTTATGCTCTACCCAGTTCTATTGAAAACAATAAAATTATAAACTCGTACCATGAATATTTAAAATCCTTCTAAGGAACCATCGTAAAAATATGACTATCACACCAGTAGTTTTAAAAACACCTTAATCTTGATAATATTTTACATAAATTAACCAAACGATCTTTTCTTTAGAAAAGCTTCGCCTAAATTGTTGTTTGCATCCAATCTTTTGTTCTGAGAAGTCATTTAAACTGAGATCACTGAAGAGCAAAGAGTTATACGAAATAAAAGTTACCATTTGTGATTCAAAAAATAAAAGAGGTGATCCTATCATCAGCGACTTACCTTTATTGATTGATTAGTTAGTTTATCTTGTTCAAATAGATTAAGCTTGTTTGTTTGAACAAATAACAGTAAATAACTTATCTTTGATTGAACACAACACTAGTCTAGCAATTCCAAAAATAAAACTAAGTAAGCACTAACCAATTTTGTGACGCATAAACTCAATTTTAAGTCTCAAAAGTAGTTCGAAGTTTTAATAAGGAACATTTTGAAGGTACGAGTTATTACAATCATTTGACGAACTTACCTCTCTCATATTGAGGTGAAAAATAATCAGGCTTATTGGGCTTGTTGACGCCGTCCAGTATCGTTAATCTCCTATCTTTTTCCACTTTCAAGGCCTCTTCAAGTGTATTTTCAAGAGCAGCCATAAGAGCTAGGTTATGACCTCCTGTATGCTCATAGACTCCACGTAGAGTTCTGTATGGACGTAAATAAATTATTTAGTGTACCGTTTTGTTTCAGCTTAGAAAAGATGTAACATTTCACAATTTTATTACAATGACAAGGATCATAAGGCATTTGGACATATTCAATTACTAATTTGGAAACCAGAATATAAACCTGAAATGATAACCTATAGACTAAATGTTAATAGCTTGTTTCTTTGACTTCGCTCACAATTCTCGTTCCAAAGTTAGATGTTTGTTCATCATCTATGTATCCACAACAATTCAAAGTTATTGAGTGCTTTTCTCAGCAGGAAAATTAAGTTGGGGATAAAAAATGTAGATTTAAAACTTCAATAGTTACTTGGAATACTGTAAACTATTAAAACTAGTTATCTACTGTAAGTAGATTCATTTTCATGGAAATTTCTGTAAGTCTGCAGAACGACTATAAGCAAGATGATGTGGTGTATTATATTATTGTTCGAAATTATTCATGTCTTTGAATACTTCTCCGTAATTATCTGAAGATAAATAGTTATTCTAAGATGGCTCGATTTGTTTACAGGTAGCATAGACAGATGCAAATAAAGTGATGTTTGAGTGATAGATGTAGCTTAGTTTGAAGCTGAAATGTTGATTCATTTTCTGCAAAACTTAGATATTTATTTCCTGCAATATCTGACAACAAATATTTTTCTTTGATGCGCGCCACATTAACTTTCCATTTCATAAGCAAGTTTAAACATATAGTCAGGGGGTTTACAATTCTTTAGATTAACAAAAGTGGTGTGATTGTGACAAAAAATGAAATGTTTAGGCATACAAAACCACTGAATCTTATGGCTAGTTTTTCGGTAGTTCAACTTAGCCGAAACAAATTTGGAGTCATGTCGCATAAAATATAGTTATTTGAATTTCTGTAACTAAGATCTCACTCGTTCTGTTTCCAGAAATTTGTTTGAGGAGAAATCGTGAAACTTTTCTACTAAATCACCTTATAAGGCAGTAATAGGTCACAGTTATTGTATATTACTAACAAAAATTGTGGTTCCACTCGTTTACGATCTGTTATAGTATTTAAGAGGAAAGTAAGGCATATTTTCATAATTTTCACAACTCATGTAAAATGCTAGTGCTCTTTGTTAGTTGTTTAGAGAAAGACAGACTTTTTACCGACAACAACATACTTTAGTTTCTGGACAGTTGAAATCGCTAACAAGATGTCTGTTTTAACTTCTAGATCCAAGGATAGTTATCTTGAAGACTGGCCATTGTTAAATATGTTTAGCAACATACAGATTAAATGGAGGAATATGTTTACGTTTGAGACAGATATATGCCCATGTAAATACAAAGAAACTCCCAGAGGTTTGTCGGCACTTTCTGGTACGACGAAAGACGTCTCAAATGACATAATGTGCTGTCTTAAAAATGAATAGATCCAAAAGTTTACAGTTTCTACTCATGTGGCCTTCTAATGGGACTTCGGCTAAACTCAAGTTATTCGAAATTATCTTGAGAGTACAAAAAAGGGTGGTCAATTACTGAATCAAACAAACAAGGTGAAAAGAATAAATATGGCAAGACCCTGCGAACTTAGAACACGAAGAGCTAAATGATCGCAAAGAAATCTCATATTTTGATCATTCATAAGAATCGGAAAGCAATAACTCATGAGATAGCTTAGATACAGTGTAATGGTAGTATCAGCGATTCATGACACGAGAAGTACTATGGTATTAGACATCACAGCAATGTTATTTATTCGTTGGGCTTTGGTTCAACGTTTCGCTGACAATCTTGTTTTTCATTTATTATAAATGAAATTGGCCTAGGCTATAATTTTACGATACTTGAGAAATATTGGAATAAGATAAATTAATGCAGAATAATCATCGAAAGGCTTGTTATCATCCGTGTATAAACTGCACATTTATAATATGTCATAAGTAAGAAGGTATACTAGTTAGATCATTCACTTATGAATAGTAGCTTTTGGTCCTGGGATAATTCTTCTGTCGTAGCCTCTTTACTATAGCCTAATATGATCATAACTCTGCATACCGTAGAATAGTTATTGTTTCGTCTACTAACTTAATGGTATGAAGGGTATCCTCCGAAAAACTAATTACATCCCAGAACGGACATGAAGTGAAGTACCTAATTTGGTTGTGTGACGGTCACTTTTATTTGTATTACTTCAAGGCAAGTGAGTTTGTAAAAGCGATGCTATCTCGAGTTTAGAAAGATGATTATTCTCTACATGCAAGCTAACCATACCACTGTCCGGGAAAAGAATGTTGTGAACAGTTTGACGTCAACTAACATTTTGTATGCAAAGCACACCAAACTGATTTTAATACACTTCTTTTGTGAGGAACAGATTTCGTGTAACATAAATTCACTGATATATTGTGAAATATTATGAGCCACATAGTCCACCACGTAAAGTATGCAAAGCGGAGCAACGTACACTTTAGTTCAGAATACTTTGTTTATGAAACACCAGTTGAGAAGATAATGGAATCACCATCAATTTAATGTAATATATAATTCCAACTTCTCGACTAATAATATGAGTAAGATTATAACAGTGATTACCCACTAGTAATAACGGCATACCTAATACAGTGACTTACCTTAACTCAATTACCAATTCACTATCAAGTGGATAGTTTTTCCGGTAAAATTCACTTTAAGTAGAAATAAAATGATTAGAAAACTCTTACTGTAAATGTAAAAATGATTCCTGAAATCTCCTCCTTTCTATCAAATCCATGGCAGTATAGGTAAAATTTCTCTTGGATTCTCTAAATTGTAATCATAGAAATACAGAACCGTACTCTTCAGGGGGGTATTTCGGTACTGGGTGATATCTAGATGGCATATCAATATTTGTTGGAGGGTCAAGAAAACGTGTGCGGTGCTGTGAAGGTCTGTTAGGTTTGCGTATAACTTCATCTGAATCTGAAATACGATTAACATCTGTGAATTATTTGTTTTGGCGAAGGAATATATCTTTACTCTCACAGCAGTTGTTCACTGGAGCAAACTGTACACAACGCGATTTCGGAACATTTGGCGAAGATAATTGTTCGCAGTTTAACGAGCTAACTGCATTGTGGCTCTCATACGCGTCACTATTTTCATTAGATCTAAGCTCTGCGCTATATTCTAAACTTTTGCTTTTTCTGGGTTTTGCGAAAACAATGCTTTCTGTTCGGTATTTCCTCACTAGTTTTCTCAGCCTTTCCAGTTCTACTTCCAGGGCTAAAATTGTAAATGGAAAAGCACAAATACAAACCTGATTTAATATCGTCCATTTCTATCTTATTTCAGATTATTATTGATGTTCGCAAAGTACATTTTCTCTCATTTTAAAAGTCCTTCAGAGTCAGATGTAACGGTGACTGATGTGTTTAGAAAACTAAAACAAAATGTTCACCAGACTACAAAGACTGTTATTTGAGAGTGAGCCATGCAGTGTGTGCAGCACAAAACGTGAAATCACCATATACACATAAGATTATGAAAAATCTTTTTGGCAAGCACATAAATAAGTGTGATCATATATGAAAGCGATCTATTGTTCACCATCTTTCCAAGTTCCATTTTTTCGGATATAACTGAATACGTGTGTGAGGCCATCCTAAACAGCAGTCTTATCTTCTTCACTCAATGCTATTATTACTTGAACAATAAGAAACAATAGTCACTTTGCCATACCTGTTTAATTTCGTGATCCCTGATGTAATTAGATTTTATGACAATAAGCCATATCCTCCCCAAAATTTATAGCCATACGACTTGCATACGCTCGGCATATATTTTACTCAGAGTTAAATGAGAAAAAAAAGCCCTATGCGGTTTGTGCTTTGTTGTGTAGTCGGTAAAATGTGTTTAAACTAACGACACCAAAATGAGTTATAGATTACCTTGAGGAACTCATTTTCAAGTAGGTAGTTAACATCTGTTATATATCTCACAGAAATATGTACAGAAAAAGGCAGAAACAAGTATCAGATGATTTTCACGATGTACAAATGTACAGGAGTGTAGTGATATAGTGATAATTATTTAAAATTAGTTGTCTTTCGACCATCTCTGCCGTAATAGGGGTTTCTAGCTAGCGAAGCTAGTTCAAGCATTTTCCCCTGACTACGACCCGATTTAAGACGTTCCTCTCACTCTATACTACCAGTATGAAGATCATAGGTTTTCTACATCTCCCTGAAATCATATGTACATTACCTTCCAGAGATCATCACTTTCTTACTAGTTTGCTTTCGCAACGAGCTATATAAAGATACATATTTACCAGATGAAACAGATGGCTTAGACATGACTGATAAACAAATCACAAAAGATGGGTTCTATGGAGCTTTTATCTTTTAGCAATACTAAAATAACAGAATTGCACTGTGCATAATTTATTACAACAGCCGTAAATCACAATATTCACTTAAAATTTTCATTAATGTACAAAAATGTTCTACATTCAATCGCATTTATTAAAATTCTCTCGCTCTATCAAATATTCCTTCGTAATATAACAATTCACACGAAATGATCAACGATAACAAAACGAGCTCAATGGAATATAACCAACTAAAATGGATGAATGAATGTCGTGAATTTTCAATGTCACAAAAAGAATCAACAGTATAACATGACAGGTTTATTAACATCAGCGACACTCGGTTTCGTTGAGTGTAGTGTACTTCAAATGACGAAATTGCGTTCAGGTGAAAAACTCCTTCCCTCGTCTCTCAGGTTGTCAATCTTTGTAGTCCTGACAAATCCATAGTGACTGAAACCTGTACCGTTATTGAAAGCTTGTGATGTACTGCCTGAACCAGAAGTATATCTGGAAATTTTTGGAGCTCACCAGAGTGTAATACTATTTATAAAGTACTTTCACACATTCAAGGTTGTGAGTTTGTTTCCAACCTACGAAGTGCACCGCACTTACGCTAACAGGAGCTAAGACTGCTAAGATTCATTCGAAGTCTTATTCTTTAGTAAATTTTGTAACTTTGGGGTCCTAATTTATTTCCACTTACAGTGTTTATAACCAACAAGTTTACTCTGGTAAAAAACTAGAAGGTTTTGGGATGAACTTTGGAAGTATCGGTACTTTCGTTTAATTATGAAATTTTGTAGCGTCTGTAATTCGCTTTTTAGTACTCATGGCTCATTTTAGCTTGGTTACCTATAGGGCCACGAAATGCAAATAAGACGAGAATCCATCAGTACTACAGAGCATGATGCCTAGGTCCTTTTCAGTAGTGGAAAGTGTGTTTCTCTAATCTCCTGAGAATTACGTAATGCCACTGTTGTTCGCCATAAACATTCTGTTGCGATGAAAGCGGTTCCGGATAGTTCAACCTGGTGGTTTATATAAGTCTTCGTGGAGGGTTAATATATCTGAGCCAGAAATTTCTACCAAGATATTGGGGTCATCCAACTAAAGATGAAAAGTCCAGGGGGATGTCATTAATAAGGGATGGGAATATCAGTGGTCCAAAGACTCAGTTTTGTGACATTCAACTCGTCATGGAGAACCAGTTTGACAGAGTGGTACAAGACTCCACAATTTCTAGGAAAATCTCAAGTAATCGATTCGTTGGGCCAATAACTTCTTAGAGGATGACTTGTAAAATACAAGACATGTGATCATCGTTTGTGGATAACTCCGGAAATTCTATTCCGTATTTTGGAACCAGCGCGTAAATTCATTTCACAATGAAAAATTGAGATTTTAAGGTTGTCAGATGTTGAATGGTGCAAGTTGACAACCACAACTTGGTGGAGATGTGTGGCTGATAGATGTCAATCTGCCAATGTTTGTCTTACGCTGACACTGGTGACAACTGTAAAAGTTTGCATGCAACGAACTTCGTTCGTTAGCTAACCACAGTTCCGTTATGGATAATCATTTTTGTTTTAAAGGAGAAAGCGAAGCAATATATTGAGTAGTAATAAAAACTCCTTTATTTTAATAAACATTAATGATGTCTTATTTAGCAGATCATTGTATTGTACTTTGCTGAACATTATGCAGTCATACTTGTGTAGTGACTCACGTTTATCACGAGAACACGACTGGTTTAATAAAAACAATTATTATTATAACCAACTGTACCAGTGTTTGTTTTAACGTGCTTTTGTTTGACTGTGCTAATGACAGCTATTTTGTGCTTCTATTCTTTTACTTACACTTTGATTGTAACTTCGCGCGAATTCGGTTACCTTCTGTAACCAAGGTTGCATCCTGGCACGATCTCGGTATCCTCTCGATGCCACGAGATCGCCAGCAAATAAACCTCGATTTGGTCCATTAATTGCCTTCTGATATTCGGCTTCTCGGGGATTTTATGGAGTCATTTGGAACGAGCTTCTTACGCCTTCTGATTCGCTTGGCACGTGTTTCTTTGTAGCGGTGTTCATAGTTAACCTCAACTCGACGCCACGCTACACTTGGACGTTTTAAATTATTCAGTGATCCCGATCAAACATTTCTTTGTTCATTTTGTTATCAACGGTCGGACAAGTCTAGCCGTCTAAGAACTTTATCTATCTCTAGCAACCGCAAGGAAAGGCAGTTGTTGTTCCTGACATGATCTTTGTATCGGAAGTTGAAAATAGTTTACTTTCATTACATAAAACCACACAACGTTTGACTTTAAATTTGTCGTCTGGCTAAAATTTAAGCGAGTTTTCAAGTTATCTACTGACAGCAGACTTCAGCACCGAATTTGTAATGAATTATAAAAATTGGGAAGTGTTATACCCACGTAGCGTATTACTTATTCTGGTGACAAGAAATGGCTAGGATTTCCACAACGCAAAGTAAGAACAGCAAGGCTGATACAAGTGTATGTTTACCCATTATGAGAACACAAACTGGGCTCTAATTGAAAATGCACTCATTTGTATCTTGATTTGTACACTTATATGATCATTAATTAGTAAAATGTCATCACATGAGATTATAGCAAAATCACACGCTACATTTCATTCTGAACATATTTCACGTGAGTTTAATACAGGAATATCATATCCTGGAAACATCACACTGAAGTAAATCAACGTTATCCTGAATTAAATAGTACACCAAAAGTAAAACGAATATTACTCTAAGTACTCATCCTATGGAATTAAATTAAGAGTAATGTTGAACCAGAATCTCAATAAGTTAAGAATGTAATTTTGCCTTTTTATCCCGTCTTATCAGGAAGTGACATCTATTTGAAACCGGTGATGTGATATGTTTCTGTACATTTTGAGCAAACTGATATGCATATGCGAATTACATTATGCAACAACGAAAAACACACTTGTCAGTCAGAGATATGAAAATAGAAAGTTCGTCTTGTACAATTAAGGGAACAAAATGCTTAAGTCGGTTTACATCTACACACCGATATTTCCTAAAACGAGAGTCTTCGGAAAAAATATGTGTACAGAAACTGGGTGTTTGACTATCTGGTTTCTGTAAGATAAAACATAGAAACATTGAACTATCACAGCTAATGGCTTGTTGAAGTATAAAACTAATTCTTTTCCCTTTTCATTGTACTACTTAAATATTCGCCTGTTTAATACTTCGTAATTTTGCAAACTATATTTTTGATCAAAAATTTGTAGATTTTTGCCCCCAATGTGATAAAAAAATACGTTGGTTTTCTATGTGATAGTTACATTTCGTCACAAATAAAGTCTTTTGAATATAAAATATAATAACACATAAGGGTGAATAGTTCCGTTTACAATTAGATTGTCATAAAACTTCACTCTGATATCCAGGAATTTTAGTATCGTTATGTAAAAATATTAAATGAGACAGGGTAGTTAATGTGTCACTGATCCCAAAGAAGTAGATTATACTACTAAACATAATGGTAAAAAGTACAAATTGATAGTAAGAAAGCAGATGTGCTAGTAGTGATAAGGAAATTGAGGAAATAAAGGTTCTAATCAATACTTCAACATGGAGAGTAGGTCAAATTATGATAAATAGACAACAAATTACTAATCAATGAATATCATTAAATTTCCATAATATGAAATGCAAAAATATTTAAATAGTGAAGAAAATAAACGATAGGGTGAAAAGAACGGTAAACAAATACAGGCTGTGAACAGTTAGTAAAATCATTTGGAACTGCATTGAAACAACAAGAAGCAAACGCAAAGTAATAGACTGGCTTATACAAGTTCGTCACCAAGATATTGGATACTAGAAGCTATTTTCGGCCAAGGAAAAAAAGGTTGTGTCAAATTTTTCAGGAACGCAAATAAGCCTTTTCTAGAGCTTAACAGCTAACACTTACTTGTAATTATTGGGTTATTGACGGGTTTTCAAGAACAGTAGAAGTTGCTGTGATGATTAGAAGTATTTGAATCAGTGTACTAACTAGGAATTCCCGAAACATTGCAATTTAAGCCAGACAGAACAAGATGAGCACAAACGAACGTATTGTATTTGGAAATCCTAATAAGCGGGTAATCAAGTACAAAGGACTCATTAGTTCTTACAAATACTACAGTTACTCAATCCAAATAACGAAACGAATGAAGATTGTCATGGAAACATTGGTAGTGACCAAAATGATCAATTGAAACTAAATAATTGTTCCATCGGATTACGATGGGGTTTTATACAAATCTGTTAAACCCACACACCTGTAAACACATTTGGAGAACTCACTCTGACAGATCATGTTACTGTCGAATGCATTAATTCAGTACTCATGTTTAATTTGTGCTCAATCGTGTGATTATTTACTACTATTATACATGTCCGTTAATTCAATTTTTCAAACATACATTTAGGAATGTTCTCAGTCGAGTGCTTATATAATCAATTCTTCTCTGGCTATCAAGTCAAAGATGACAAACATGATTGAGATTTTTATATTTACTAATGTAAGGAAACCTGTCACTACTTGCAGTTAAGCCCTGCACAAAGGCGATGATCAGCCGTGACAATATTCTGGGTGCTGAGCCAACGGGATTGACTACGTTCAACCCCTTAAGGTCACCAGTTTTATCTATGTTAGACAATCATTGACATGTTTTCTTTCAAGATTGGAAATCGTTAATCACCAATATTCTTTGCTTACATTTTGTTTGTGGCAAATATTCAATATGAAATCATTTATTGAATGTATCATACACAAAACTTGTTCACTTACTTAGAAAGCTATCTTTTAGTTTGACTGGATTTTTGAATCATCCTACTACTTTTCTAAACTTGTAAGTTCTGCAGTTTCGTTACGACAGTTGCTAAATTCAGATATAATAAAATATTTACCGACCTCACAACCTCTTCGGTTAAACTTAGGGAGAAAACTAAACAGCTTAGGAAGTTATATTGTCGACTATTGAGAAAAGTACTAACACCTTATAATGACTAATAATTTAAAAGAAATGACAGTACATGTGTGCGTTGGGAATGACCATGAATTATTTGATGTAATTCTTTTATTTTAGCATATATACTGCAGCATTCAGCTTAATAATAAATTTTTAACCACCTAACGTGCTCGGTAATTTTCTACGATATGGAGCATCAGATCATACTTAGTTATTTTGTAATAAGTACAGGTTTATAGCATAAGGATATAACTCAGATAAATGTAGTTAGTAATCCTTTAAAATCCAACCCATAAAAATACTCATTTCTGCAGTGATTGGATGTTTTGTTGTCCAAACTAGTCTTTGAAGGAATTCAATACTTTTAGGCCTTTTTCAAAATAAAAAAACTGAATTAATAAATATTTACTAAGTTAATGACTGAGTGAAGATGGAAAATCAGAAATGCATAACTTCGTTTAAAAAGAAGAAATATTTGAGTATAGTAGATTTAAAACAAAATTTCTACTTCAAGTAATCAATATGATAGAACATGAAGGATAAAATGAACCCGTAACGCGAACACTGTTTAACCTTAAAATTAGGCCATTAAATACTGAACGATTGATATTAAGGTAAACGATTACGAACTAAAAATAACGAGACGTAACGAGGTGAAAAAAATCAGATGGTCTCAATGAGAAGGTTAAGTGGGAAGGTTCCACCCAAAGTGTTATATTGTTTTGGAGTATCCCATCATACACTGCTTTGCAACAGCTTGATTTCGTATATCGTAGGCTTCTTGATGCATTGCTATAATTTCGTTGACTGTATGCGAACGCCCTCTAGGGAACAATAAGTACACTCCTGCAACAATGACTACAATGGAGTAGAACCAACAAAACAAACGATCAATCGTCATTAGAACTAACCGCCATTCGCGATCACGCTGAGCTATTTCATCTTTTTTAGCTATTTTCAGCATCAATTGTTTTAATGCATTACATAAGTCACCCAAATTGAACTCAAGTTGAATTGTAGATCTTCTTGATTGTTGTTTAGATTGTAGGAATTTTTTAAGCAACTTATCATGTATCTTAACTGTTCCAGACTCATTTGGCTGATTCATAGCATAATCGCCCCATGGAATACTTTTTTGTTGTAAATAGTTTTGGTTCGGATAGTGATGACTTGAAAATTGGCAGCCATTCACACCAGTGGAATAAGATATTCGTGAACCATCTGATAGCATTGAAAGTTGTTGCTTTTGTAGAACAGATAATTCGTTAGGATTTAAAAGATACTCTTCAGTAGATGAAGTCTTATTGTAATCCCATTGTGTTTCTACACCAGCAGAATGGATCAAATTTGACTGCGGATTAGATGGTGGTAATTGTTGATTCGATGACCACGTATCAAGTAGATTTTCCGATTTTATACTTTGTTTCATCTTGGCATTTTTAATTTGTGCTTCAACAACACTCAGTTTTTGATTGGTATCTGCCACTACAGGTGGTTCCAATTTCGAAACATGTAACAATGTAGCAAAAAATCTAACCACCTAGGAAGAAGGATACAGACACAGAAATAAAAGACAACAAACCGTATAAATATAGAGGAATATGACAATATTTTGTTGAACTTGACTAATCTTAAAGAAATCTTATGTTTATTACAGTCTAATGAGTGTGTAGGTTGATTACAATAAGAATTTACTGACGAAATGCAAAGGAACTTTAATATAGGCAGCAGTTCTTTATCGTTCACGGTCGGTTTCTCAGCCTAAAATTAAAATATTCTCGGTATAGAATTTTATTCATTTGATTACAGATTAGTTTCATTATACTTTACTAATGTCATGTGTAGTACTGATGTCGACAGATGTAAGTAGTATGTATCATCAATAGAAAGTGAAATGTCTGGCTCCACAATCGTAATGCTTCAAACATAGCAAGAACGTTAAGAAGATAGAAGGAAAGAGAACGAGAACCAGGAAAACAATGAAGTCGGAGATGATCGATTTACATTTTGGAGACGGAACAGTCAAGTTTGAGACAACCATTAACATTGTGCAAATGAAGTATTTACTATATGGTTCTCAGATTTTACTAAGACATTCTGTAATTTTTTATTCAAATACATTGATTTGTCCCCACTTGTGTTCTCGTTCACTACACTAGTACGGTAGTCGTTCATTCGCAATTACTGATAGTTCATACACTGTTTCGGTGCACATTAGTAAGTGAGTCAAAAAAATGAGGTTGATAGATAACAATCTGATGATTACTTACAAAACTATTCAAACATCTGTACTACACAGTAGTGTTTTCTATCTACCTTTATGTGACTCACCTTTGAACATATAGGAAAGCAATCAGTTCAAATTATTTTGGACTCCACAAATAATCACGACGAAACAATTTACCATCCCTGGTGTATTTTTGAATTCCAATAATGTAAATTACACTTCAAGATGTTACAATAAACGTTTATACCACTCTTGAGAGTTTTGGGTAATATGTGATAAATACTTAGGAACCAAGTGACAGTCGGGACCTACTGAACTCTCACTATGGCAGTGTGTGAAACAGGTTCGATTTCGACATAATTCCGAAGAAATCTTAGCAATATTCACTAATCAGAATGGAAACTTTATCTATAATTTTATACTTATTACTTACAAGCATTTAACACTCAGTAAATTGCACTGAAATTTCAAGTCGATTAGCCTAGTGGCTACATTTTAACTTGATCGATAGGACTCTATTTAGAATAAAGGTCGCATAAAACAATATTTCATACTATCCAGTAATCAGGAATTCTTTAAATACATTTCTGTTTATGGAAATATCATATTTTTGTCAGTCCTAAACAAACCTTTAATGTTCCACTAGACAAATAATTCTGTTTCCAGTCATCTTGTAATATATTTTGTAAATTTACCATACAAATTGTTTATTAACAATAATTATTAAGCCAACACACAAAGAATAGAATACATGAGTTTTCAAAAAATATCACTTACCTGTATAAGCCATGGTGGTACGTGTTTCGATTTTACTCGTTGAAAGTGTAAGTGTACAACAATTGTCGAAGCAAATGTTGACAAACTAAGTAATGTCATATTTAAACAATAAAAGTAACCTAAAAATGTAAAATAAAAACCAAAATAAGAATGATAACTGTGTAAATTTATCATCAATACATTCATATTTCATGGCCAACTATCTCTATATTTGAGTGAATTCAATCATGGCCTAATATTGATCAGTTCATGAACATAATTAAACTCAACAATCTCCATAGTGGCCATCATCATTTCATCTCTGGAAACTAGATTCGAGAGGTCATTCTAGGAGTTTCAGTGAGAATCCATGACCGATGAAGTTCAATCGTGGCCGATGTGAGACAATTACTCGTTAAAGATGGTCGCATTAAACGGCTAATTAACTGAAGTTAGACATTAACACAGTCGGATGCCGGCCCATAGGTCTAGAGGTTAAGAATTCGCGCTCAAGACTGATGGGCTTAGATTCGAGTCCTGCGTGTAAGGTTGTTGATGCACACTCCTAAGGAGTCCTATAATAAAACGAAAAGACCATCCAGTGCTCTCAGGTTTTCAGTGATGGTTCATAATTTCAATGAAACTGGTGTCTTTTCTCTACGTTCACCTTTAAAATGGTGAACATGAAAGAATAACCAAGTGTTATGATTAAATGCTAAATAAAATAAAGATAGTTGCTGCAAAGAGTTATGGAAATAAAGAAGATAAGAGAATATCTCGTGTAAAAATAGTTTTACCATGGGTTGTAATTAGTTTAATAGTCGTTAGGTTGTATTTGCCATAGACTAACTTCGGTTGGATAGCATTTAAAACCAGACATTTTGGTGGAGTTTTGTTCTCTGAGCTGGATGGTTTGGTCGTGGAGCTTTCATCGTTCTTCTGAACGACATCATCAGCACAAACTTCAGATAGAAGTGAAGTGTTCGAATTTCTCCACATGTGTTCCACAGCTTGTTCTGTGCACCTCGAGGTGCACAAACCATCCAGCTCAGAGAACAAAACTCCACCAAAATCATCCACCTGAGCTACGAATCTTCTCCACCATCTCAAAACCAGACATACCTGGTAAGCTATCTCATCCTATTATGGTATTTCTTAAATTCTCGCCCATATAGAGAATGAAAACGTGACCTATAGTTCTCGTGGCACCCGCTTAACCACTAGGACCTTTGATTTGACACTTGATATACAATATCAATTTAAATCAACTCGCAAGACTGCACGACCGTCATCCAACCTGATGACTATAACCTGCAAAGTCAAGTAATCCTGAAAAAACACCTTCAAATAAAGAATTGACAGTTCCTTAGGATCTTAAACTAATCTTCATAAATTATTCAACTCAACAATTGTACATAGTAATCTAGTAACCATTTCAAAGGAACTATTGATCCTTTCATAGTTTCAATGACTAACAAATCTTGCCTAGGCCACCACTAGAAGTCAGGAGGCGTTGGATAGCTGTTTTGTACTAATGAGGGGTTTATAAGTAATGAGTAACCATGACCCTACAGCACATGATCAAAATGGAACTCTCAGTTTCGTGAGCAAACGCTTAACCTCCGGACCATCGAGGCGGTATCACATGATTTGTATGTCAGTTGTGAGACAGATATTAGCCGTAGGCAACGTAATTCTTTGATTAAAACTACTTTTGCGTGAGTTACTGTTGTTGGCATCAACTTGTGATGAAAACTATTTTTAAATTGTAAAATTTTCTAATACAAAGACTGTTGTGATTTAAGTAACTTTTTCATCGATTTATTATGATATACTCGGTAATAAAGTATTTATAATTGAATGTTTATAGGTATTCGACGGGAAACCTTGTACTGCACATAAGACTTGCCGATGAGTGCCAACTAACATAAAATATAGACAGATAATTCCCATTTAAACATTAAAATTAAAACACGAATTTCAGCGAAGGGATCTCTTTTCAACGAATTTATTATCAAGCTGTACAATCGTATATATATGAAAATTTTTTGTTTTTGTAAAAGTACTAATTCCGTGAGGAAATGTGAACACAGTTAATATAAAGGTTATAATACTAGATTACGTAATATGAATAATAACAATAACAATAGATTTAGTGATTATAATAAGATGATTAAAATGTTTTTGTTATAATAATTAAAGGTCATAGAGGTGTACAAAAATAAACTGATATGATGAGCGTTCATGAATAAAACAATCAGAATATAAGACATAAGTAAATGGGGAATGCAGTAATTATAATAATAATAATAATAATAATAATAATAATAATAATAATAATAATAACATTAATGGTAGGATAATCAAACTAATTAAGGCCAAGGTAACGATAACGATAAGACGTACTTCTTTTGTACGCATAGTTCTGGTTTAAGCTCCTGGATGGCAAGAGCTTCGGCTATTTTTAAAAGTCTTATATTCTCATTGTTTTATTCATGAACGCTCATCATATCAGTTTATTTTTGTACACCTCTATGACCTTTAATTATTATAACAAAAACATTTGAATCATCTTATTATAATCACTAAATCTATTGTTATTGTTATTATTCATATTACGTAATCTAGTATTATAACCTTTATATTAACTGTGTTCACATTTCCTCACGGAATTAGTACTTTTACAAAAACAAAAATTTTTCATATATATACGATTGTACAGCTTGATGATAAAATATAGACCCAAGACTTTCTGCCAATCACCTCCAAGCATCTAACATCACAAAATAGTGCACATCATATTGAATCATTTAGACTAATGGCTGCAGTACAACTTATTTGACAGATATTGATCAGCTGTAAAGGACTATCACAATAGCCACTACTCAATAATTAGTTCATGAAAAGAAAGTACTTTCTCATGATCAGGATATTAAAAAAACGGACGGAACTTGATTTTTATCAAACTGATCAAATGACCAATTAGTTACTGGTTTTTTATTTGTCTAGCAAATCAATATTTGTAATGCATCATATTTCATAAGATGACATTTTGGTTCAATTTGGTTCATTTTTTACCCAACTTAAGTGTACAGATTTACATTAATTTAGTTCATATAATTAAATAGAATAGTTTTCAGTTTTCTAGTTACTTGAATATTTTTCGAATTACCTACAAAATATATGAAGCATTTCATTTGTATATGGATTGAGTTGGTTCAGTAAATTACTGATTTAATATACTACTTAATTTAAATGGAATAATATTTTAACTTTGATTTAGACGATTTGTAATGCATGAATATATACATTAAAACTTTAATGGTATTTTCCTAAGAAAATGGTATTTTGTTTTTAATATATAGGGAAAGAATTTGATTATATTTCTAGATTGTTACTAATATTTATGTTTTAAGTAGAACAATGTAATTTAATTAGAACTATCTGAACTCATTAGCTCTATGAATAATGTGTTAGTGTTTGATGTGAAAAATAACAGATTTAAATTTCATTATGAACATTAACACTGGAATTCAGAAGTATCCAGCTGAAGAGCTCCAAATAAGACGAAATCAATGTCATCAATTCTATTGTGAACCATTACCTAACTTCAGTTAAATTTGATTAGAAACGGATTAAAAATATATATATGACATGAATAAAATTAGTTCATATGAAATTAACGAAAACGCTTATTCTCAATATTCAACTATACATGTTAGATCAATAAGTTACATTGAAAAAAACGTGAATAATCAGTTTTTATTAGAATAATTATAATGTACTTCATCTTTTCCTATAAGACGAATACTTAAATCTGATAGTTCGAATACCATTTATAATTTATAATATGTCAATATAAAATTTGTTAAAAACAAACAAATAGTTTCATGATTAGATCACAGTTAGCTTAAACAAATTTATAATCACTAATGTGAATTGCATAACTTCATTGTTTCAAACTTTCTATTTTAAAGAAAAATATTGTATTTCGTGGATTAGTTGAAGTTAGACATTGACACCATTGGATGCCGACTCAGTGATCTAGAGGTTAAGCGCTGGCGCACAAAACCGATAGGTCTTAGGTTCGAATCCCGCAAGGTGTCGTCGTGGATGCGCACTGCTGAGAAGTCTCACAATAAGACGAAACAGCCGTCCGGTGCTTCTAGGTTTTCCATGGTGATCTACCTCCAATTGACTCATGATCCCAACTATTTATATTGCATTTTAGTCAATGTTTATTAACATATTAGTAATATCTATCTAGTTTAGTAGATATCAGTAGAATACTATTACAGATATTTATTACAAATATCAAAATGTATTTTTGGATTATTACCTTGCAAAAATTAACCATTCATAAAGACAAAATTTCATTTTTCTTTTTCTAATTTGTATCATTTATAACGGTTTAGTTACTAAAGTGTATTTTGTTTAAATTTAGTAAATATCCATCTATATATATATATATATATATATATATATATATATATATATATATATATATATATATATATATATATATGTATATATATATATATATATATATATATATATATATATATATGCTTCCGAATTTCTAAATTTTGAATTAATATAACTGTCAATCATAGATACTAATGTAGTTCAATGAATGGGGAGAAATCAATATTCAATAAGTAAATATCTAACTTAAAATCTTGTTTATTTGAATGTCTCAATAAGAAATATATTATATTGTTTATGAGGTACCTGGCCTGTCATATGCCCTGATGATGTTCTTATGTTTTTCAGGTTGCCTGATCTGCCATGGGCAATGGGGCAGTGCATAACGGTATTGTTGTGTGCTAGGTTCAAAGAGAATTGTATGCTATATGCATGCAAATCTGCTCCGTTATTGTTCCTATATTGTTTATAACACAACTTAATTACTTTTTTTAACCAATTAAGTTTAAGGAGGGTGAAGCTTTATCATAGGTAGATGTTAGCTGAAAAAAAAAACTAATGAGATTTAGAAAGTAAATGAAGAGTTCCTTAATTTTATTAGGAAATAAGAACAAAGTATCTTATAATCCATTTAAAAGATAGATATTTTGATTAAATACTGTTGTGTTTATTACCAAGTCTCAATGCTTGTCGATCTAATTCCTTGTTAGTTAGACTAAAATAAAAAGATATGAATGATCAGATCTTGTGTTAAAGTTTTGAAGCATACATGATAACATTGAAGTCAAAATAAAATATTTCATGATTGAGATCTATTGTTTGAACAATAGACTGTGAGGTCATTAAATTGTACTTTTCTTTTCTAAAATGGCATCGTAATTCATTTTTTTTGTTTCTAGTCCCAACCGTCATACAAGTACATAGATAGAATTATTCAAAAATATAAGAGATTAAAATGATTGTCATCTTATGAGTTCATATATAGAAGCTTAGTCACCATGATGTCATTTCAGTGATTATGACAATTATATTTAAAATCTTGTTTTCCGAAATTTTCAATTAAGCATCATATCATATATAATCATCAGTATATTTCTTAACAAAGATATAATCTCAATGAACATCTCTCTTGTGCTTAACTTCAATTAGTCAGTCTATAATTATTTTGTTAATAGTTCAAGCATTATTACTCTCTTACTTATCATAAGTATTTTTGTTTTGTATTACATTATAATCAAAACCTTTGAAGAACATTCTCTCGAATTTCATGTTATTGTAATCATACTTTACATTTTACATCACTATTGCATATCATAATCCAATAGGTTAAGCGTTCGCAAGCGAGACCGAAGACCCTGAGTTCGAACCCCGCAAGCGGGATCGTGGATGCATACTGATGAGGAGTCCCACAATAGGATGAAACGGCCATCCAGTGCTTCCAGGTTTTCGACGGTAGTCTAACATAAATCAGTTCATGATCTCAATCAGGCCGAAATGATACTTATAGTCTAGTTGCTATTTTTGTTCACTATTGACATGTGTATCTTTATTAAAATCAATCAGATTACATGTAATATCAACACTTTACGCTAATTTAATTATCATTTATATATAATAATATAGAATCACTTCTCTTTATTTATAATGAATGTAAAAAACAAGTGAGTAATTAATTAGTTTTCACTTAGAGATTACGAAACAAACTAATTTCATAATCTATAAATACACTATCTTTCATTCATCATCCTATTTTTCCGAATAATATATTCTGATTTACTTCGTCTAGTTTTAATTAAGAATATAGGACATATTGATGATAGACTGATATATACATATTATTACTTCTAAGAACATCTTTCAGTGATAATATTGTTCCAGTAATACCATTTTTTATTTGTGAAGCTATAGTTTAAAGATAACATAGTGAGTAAGATGCTAACCTATCCTCTAAATGAGGTTTTGAGAAGAGCATTTGTTTGTAATTTGGTTGACCAATACTCATTCCAAGGAATTGAAGAATAAATTGCCAACTTCCTCTAATCATCTGTGTATTCATCAGATACATCATTATTCTTCATCTGTATTGTTGTGTAATTATTTTTAGCAATAATTGGATTCTTAAATTCAGACTTACAGAAACAGTTTTTCTACTTCATTCTTGTGTAATGGAACTTATAATGAGACATTATAAATTCCGTTTTATTATCATTATGATGTTAAATTACACACCAATATTTCTTTTGTATTATTTTATAATTTACAGCACGGGTCGATCGTAGTTAGACAGTAATTCAATGTTGGAGTGATCCAGAAAATTGCTTGCAAAAGACAAGCAAGCATCAGGAAACACTAAGAAGCGTTTCATCCAATCAGCGTTCACTTGAAGTTTTAGCCAAAAATATCAAGGAAGCGAAACGTCACATGCAGAGGCTCTGATTGGCTGGCTGCTACACTGCTACTATGTTTAGTAGCATTCCAGAATCTTCTAGCAACCCAAGGAAATTTAAAATATTATAAAAATTCTGCATTTTCTGTATTAAAATGAAGCATAGAGTAAACTACTTCTCGTATACTTTGAGTCTTCTCTCTTGTGTTCATGTCGCTGTATAGTTCTAGCTTGGGAATTACAGAATAGCTTAGGAGACGGATATAGCGTTCAATCCGCAAGACTTATCATTCAACACCAGGAAGAACTTGACGGGTGTCTCATATTAGCACGAAACTCTACGGTAATCCAAAGCCTTAATCTCATTGAGGATTGAATCTAGGATTTTCAAGAAGATGGTTGAGCAATTTCTCATATTTACTCAAGTTTGATGAAGTCTCAGTAGTTTAAATGTTTATAATTCTCTGCTGATTTGAAAGTACTCAGTGTGATCCTCAGTGTAAATGTGGGTGCATAACGCTGAAGAGTCCCATACTAAGACAAAATAATGGTTCAGTTTCTTCTGGTTTCTAATGATTGTCTTAGTAAAGTTAATCTGTGATATGAACTATAAAATTCGACAATCTTCATAAAATCCTGCAATAATCATTTGTATTAATCCCATATTTAAATATAAAATTATATATTAGTGTCAACCCATGATGAACACATAAATTATAACAAATAATTTTCCACTCATTTTGTACTTTAATGCTTGGATGAGAATACTTAAGAAACTAGGACGAAACGGCCGTCCAGTGCTTCCAGGTTTTCCATGGTGGTCTAGCTTCAATTGGCTCATGATTTCAACTTGTGAAACTGAAAAGATTATATCAGCTTGCTATTGCTTCATTTAAATATTTATACAAAGTCATTGTCGACATCATTAGTCTGTATTTATACTGTTAATTCATTATTCAATATTTTTTAGACGTGAATAAATTATAGAAAAAACATAAATACTCCGAGAGAATAGATAACGAGGGATATTGTAATAGTCATTTTACTGGAATTCTTTTTATTATTACTCAGATACACCAATAAGTAGTAAAGATAAAGTGAATGGAAAAAAATAACATATCAAAAAAACACAATAATCTTACCCAAATATGGTACAATTGTTGAAGCTGATGGTGTAGAAACAGCAAGTATTTTTAATAACAACGAAAATGCCACAAATATATTCATACCTTTTTTAATTAGTGAAAACAATATGTAAATAATTAAGAAAAAGAAGTAAACATAAAGAAAATAAGTAAGCAAACAAACAAATTTATTCCCTAGAAATTCTTTCTTCTTTTTGGATAATAAACAAGTTAAAATAAAAAGGGATTGAGTGAAAGCCAACAATTTATTAATCAGCTAAATAGATGACTATTGAAACGTAAGAAAATAAACATAAATTTTATTGATTATTGATAAAAGTTTTAGGTATATAACCATGTTTTTCATAGTTTGTTTATTATCATTTGTAAAATGTCATTTCAAACTGTAATTCAAATTTATTGTTAAAATTTGTTGACTGATTTAAGTTTAAATAATCATGTCTTTTATAAGTTTTTTACTTACTTACTTACGCCTGTTACCCCTAGTGGAGTATAGGCCACTGACCAGCATTCTCCAACCCACTCCGTCCATGGCCTTCTTTTCTAGTTCTATCCAATTCTTGTTCATTTTTCTCATGTCTATCTCCATTTCTCGGCGTAATGGGTTCTTTGGTTTTCCTCTTCTCATTACGGCTTCAGGATTCCATGTGAGGGCTTACCCTGTAATGCAGTTTGGTGCTTTCTTCAATGTGTGTCTTATCCACTTCCAGTGCTTCTTCCTGATTTCTTCCTTCGCTCTGATCTGGTTTGTTCTCTCTCACAGTAGGTTGTTGCTAATAGTGTACGGCCAACGGATCCGAAGTATTTTACGTAGACATCTGTTAATAAACACCTGTATCTTGTGGATGATGGCTTTCGTAATTCTCTAGGTTTCCGTTCCATACAGTAGAACCGTCTTGACATTTGTATTGAAAATCCTGACCTTGGTGTTGGTTGAGTTGTTTTGAGCTCCAGATGTTCTTCAGTTGTAAATATACTGCTCTCGCCTTACCGATCCGCGCCTTCACATTTGCATCATATCCACCATGTTCATCAATGATGCTGCCCAAATATGTAAAGGTTTTTACATTTTCTAAATCTTCTCCGTCAAGTGTGATTCGATTGTTTTATGCTGTTTTATATCGGAGAATCTTGCTTTCCCTTTTTGTATGCTGAGACCCACTACTGCTAAATCTGCTGCTACACTGGTTGTCTTCTCCTTCATTCGTTATTGAGTGTGCGATAGAAGAGACAGATCATCTGCAAAGTCTAGATCGTCCAGCTGCATTCTAGCTGTCCGCTTTTCATAAGTTAAATGTGATAAATTCTTTAGTGAAGGAGAACACAGGTGAAGACAACCGATTATATTTATCACAAAATTACTGAGTTACTTGATAAAATAGAAAACAATCATACTCCAATACTTCATTTGCGAAATATTCATTATTTGTCTCAAATTTCATTGTTCTTTCATTTCTATATTAATTACTTGCTGTTCCCATCCTTTCCCGTTTGATCTTGTCAACCTTCGGCTACTAAGCGTTCTATTCTTGATTGGCGTTATATACTACGTATGTCGACATACGTAGCACAAACCATAATTCTAGTGTTAATATTCTTTAAGATAAATTTGATCACATGATAAGAATAATTAAATTTTCAGGTAAATAATGTTTTGTTAGACTATCTTAACATGGATAAATAAATACTATGGAATCTTCTATTATTAAATTTTATGGTGATTATTCGTTTTTTAGTTGCGTTCATGAGTCAGTCGAAGCCAGATCACTATGGAAAATCTGGAATCACTGGACGGCCTACTGTGGAACTCCTCAGCAGTGCGCATTCACGATTCCGCCCCGTGAGATCCGAATTCAGATCCTATCTTTTTCACGAACACCTAACTTCCACAAAACCCATTTCTGATCATTAGTTTCTGATTTATTAAAATTCAATTTGTAATAAAATTATTTTCTTTACTTTTAAGTTTTTCAATCATTTTGTTTGCAATAGTAATAAAACTTAATCATTATAAAAATGTTTTTTAATGAAACGACTATTCGTAAACGAAAAAAACTTATCCAAGAATTTTTTTCCTGATTGAATATTGAATAAATTCAATGTTCAATTGATTTTTACACTTTTCTTATAAGATTTATGAAATTTTGTTAATAGGAAATTATAATGAATGAAATTGGATAATATGAATTCATTTTCATTTTAATAAATTTCCACTAATTACATGTAACTTATATAAACTCAAAGTAAGGTATGAAAAATAGAGTTTAATATATTCAATCTATCGAAATAAAATTAATGTGATAAGGGGTAATATGTGATTGTGTATCGGTTAATTGTATCAAAGTTACAGATTGAAACGAATGTTGCTAAATAAGTATCAGATTGATTAGTAACTAAATCATTCATTGTTTGTTGCCTCTATGTTATAGCTTGTACCCTGTATCCTATTCATGTATAACGTAATGAATCCATCAATTAAAGAGCAGTGATTTATCGATCGGACTAATGACGCATAAAACCTGTACGAGCAGTCTATAGAATTTATCGGTGTTGCTCCCTGTCCAGCTTAGCCAGTTAAATCAAGAACACCAGTTTGAGCTTCTGCAGTATGAATCATTTATTTCAAACATACTCGGTTTATATACCAAACCGACAGACCACATCGTACTATAAAATTGGAATCAACGTTTGTACAAGATTTGACTAAATATGGGTGTGAATGTTAGAGGTAGTAATCGATAGAATAATTTAATTACTTAACAATTATACAATAAAAATATATGTATAATATTTGACCATAAATGGATCCCAACAGTTACCATTCATTTTACGTATAGGGATATAACACTTTATATATCACATGTTTACCATTGAATAAGCATTAGTATTATTGACTCATGAAAGAGAATCTTTATTTCACATCAATATCAATAGACCTTAGTAACATATTTTAAAACAGAACATTATCGAATATAGAAAGATTTGGTTTAGTAGACAATAATTTATGAAGTATTGAAAATGTCGAAATGTTAAAATTAGGTTTTTAGCGATAATTTCTGTTTTTCTCAATACAATGGATGAACTGTTATTACTTACACTTCAGCACGAATTATAGGAGTGCACTAATTAATATCAGTTTGAATACAAATACGAAAGAATTACTTTAAATGACTTAGTGATCGTACACCATAATAAAGTCCTCAATTTAGAAAAGGGTAATAAATATGTTTGGTGTACTTCTTTAGACTACGCTTCTGGTTTGATTCTGTTCCAAAACCTCCAACATATAAAGAAATTAGCTAGTATTAATAACGTGAGATGGATGACCATGTGGGTGTAATTTCACTATTCTGAAAGAGAACAATGAAAATAAGTGTTCCACTCATTTATTAACAAAAGTTAGTATGTCTCAAGAAACTATTATTTCACCTTTTCTGTTATCTTTTCTCACATGATTATCCATCTTCCACAAAAAGAACTTTTTTAAGGTATACAAATAGTCTTATTGTATGTTCATTAGGTTCTTCCTCTTCCAATTGTTTTTAAATAAATAAAAAGCAAACGATGGTTCATTATAAATGGTTTGGACCTAATACTTCTGATTGTTAAAGTGTTAGCGTTAACCTAAGACATGAAAAAGAACTTAACAAATTTTCTGGATTCACATGACGTTTGTACTGCTAGAGATTATTTAATGGAAACCATGTCAAATGTTGTTTATCTTGATGTTCGTGTTTTGACTGATTTCTCTTGATCTCATCATTTGTTAATATCAGAGAATGCTTTTAGTCCGACTTATTGCATAAACTGATTACCGATTTTTTGTGTAACCTATTTATTACCCGCTATCTTGTAATGTTCTCCTTCTTTTTCTCTTGAAGTTCTGAGAAAAGATTTCAGAGTGTTACGTAGAGTATTGACGGCTACTTGCAAAGTGTGTGATGAATGTTTTGAATTTATTACAAGTACAGTTACGAATAGACATATGAAAAACTTGGAATAACAACTTCATTTATTTATTTTCTACTGTATAACTTCTGACAGACTAAGACCTAAGTACATTAGAATCTACGCACACAAAACTCTACAGTGTTGTATAGAGTACATATACTATGAAATACGTAAATATGTTACTTATCATTGTGAAGATCATTCAATTTCCCTCTCTCTCTCTCTCTCTCCATGTATATGTAGTAATCCCTATGAAGAATAAGTGCAGCTTTTTGGGATAGTTTGAGTTAAAAATTCCATATTCTGTTTAATATATCATACTGAATAAATAGATCACTATCATCAAAAGATTTTATTGTAAAACATAGGTTGATACTGAATCATCAAAAGTGCTTGGTAATGTTAAATATCAAGAAAGAAATATCAGAACAATTGAAAAGGAACTGAGTCAGTGAAAATTAAAGAAAATTAGTTTATAATTAAGTAGTATGAGAATCAATTATTCACTTGATGAATATACAACTTATTATCAAACAGCGAAATATAGATGGGACATTACAAACCACAGTAAAATGGTGGAACTAAATTTTATCATTATTCATGCAAAATTTCATTAATAAATTTCCGAATCTCTATACATTTTATTACGTATCAAGTTTTTGATCATACACTTATTAAGATGATTGATTTTGACTTTGTAAAAATATTCGAAATATGATTTTAATGTAGATATTGATGAACAGTTAAAGAACTAATTCATTAATTGACCTGAATACTCGCTTAAAAAGCTAAAGAATATAGTTTATCCGATCGATATAACCTACATCTAAATGAGAGGACTTAGACTGATAGATAAACAGTGAAACCATCTAAAGACTATAACGTTTTCCCTAAAATACGATGTATTTCTTTTATTGTTGTCAGTTATACAAATTAATATATATATTTCTAACTCGGGCTTCGGAAGATGGTCGCGCGATTTTGTGAATTGGTTGAAGTTAGACATTAATACCGTTGAATTCTGCCTCAGTGGTCTAGAGGTCCAAAGAACTGAAGATCGTGGGTTCGAATCCTGCGTGCAGGATCGTGGACACGCACTTCTAAGTAGTCTCATACTAGGACGAAATAGCCGTTCACTGCTCCCATGTTTTCAATGGTGATCTAACATGGATTGATTTATGATCAATCAAATACTGAATGAATGTAAATTTCAAGTTCAACGGTGAAATATATAGACAAACAGATGGTGTTGCAATGGGTTCACCACTGGGCCCTATACTAGCTGATATTTTTCTAGCCAAACTAGAAAATGGTCCACTGAAAAAGATTATTCAGAACTTCACATTTTACTGTAGATACGTGGATGACACGTTCATCCTCTGTAAAGATAATACTTCGCCGCAAGAGGTTCTTAGACGATCTAATGAAGTGCATCCAGCCATTCAGTTTACATCTGAAGAAGAGAATGATGGCCGAATAGCCTTTTTGGATGTTCTCTTGACTAGGAAAGTGGATGGATCGTTAAAAAGGAATATAAACAGAAAAAGTACTTGGACTGGGCAGTATACGAATTTCCTGAGCTTTGTACCTCTACAGTACAAACGAAATTTGATCAAAAACCTTAGCTACCGTATTCGCACTATATGTTCTGCTGATATAGTCGAACAAGAGCTTACCACCTTGCATAATACTCTCAAGGAGAACGGCTACCCTAGAAAGTTTATAATTAAATATATGGTCACGAAGGCGAAAGTAGGCGAAATACAAACAGTGAAGAAGAAATCCTTGTTCATGCGTCTACAATTCAGAGGGGATGCGACTAACTCAGAGACTACGTAGGACAATACAAAAGTCTTTTAACGCCGGAGAACTGCGATTAGTATTTTCTACGCGCCTAATGGTTACACCGAAGCTAAAAGATGAATTACCTAGAATGACCACATCATTTTGTATTTATCAGTTCAACTGCTCCTGTGGAGCGAGTTATATTGGTCGAAGTTCTAGAAATTTACATTTTCGTGCTCGTGAACACCTTCCAACGTGGTTAAACAAAGGTTTGATGAAGAAGGTGAACAGCTCAATATTGGCCCATTTAGTACAAACCGGTCATAGTGCCAGTATAAACCAATCTTTTTCAATTATTTATAAGGTAAGTAATTTTTTGCCAAAACTGGTCAGACTGAAAGTCCTTCAAACGGCTGAAGCAGTAGCCATCCGAATGAAGAAACCGGAGCTATGCGTACAGAAGAAATATGTTCAGCCACTCCTCCTCCCCTGGCCAACATCAAGGCCAATTAATCAATCATAATCTTAACTATTGAACGACCCAATTCGACTATGACCTTTCGTAGTCAATTGTAATTGTTCCTGTTATCTTTATTCATAAATCTTTGTATTATTATTATTATTATTATTATTATTATTATTATTATTATTATTCGTATTATTGGTTAAACATCATTAATCTCCCTATACATGATTCATTCACTTCGCATTCATCCCTCCGTATTACATCTTACTTATTTGATCGAATTGTAATTGCACTATTATTTCTCTCTCACCCTATTTGACCCATATTTATTCTGATCATGGATCTTAAAATTTCATTTAACATATACGCAGATTCAAGTTAACATTTAACCTGAGTCATATTAACATTAACAATTTTATGGTATTTTGTTTATCACAATCCTAAATTCACATGCTCTAAACGATGTACTTTACCCTTAATTTGGATATATAATTGTAGAACCTGAAGAGAATTTATCGAAAAGAATATTCTTCGTTCAAATATTAGTCTTTTAAATACTGAACAATCTCCACAACTCCAGGCTGATATATATAATTAATGTTTAATTAGATTTTAAACAATGATAATTAACTTAACCATAGTGAATAGTTGGCATCATTTTGAAAATTTACAGTGTTTTCTTAATTTCGATAAATACTTTCATTTAATCAAATTTGTATATTGATTAAGATATTAGGAAAGCAAACATAACAGAATAATGATGTAATAATATAAAATTATAATTAAAATTATATACACTTACTAAGTATCATTTTAGCTGGTATTTGTGGAGGCAACCAAAATATCACTGTTGTAATCACACTTAGTAATACACATGGAAACACTAATAAATATCCATAGAAAGCAGGATTACGTTTTAAGCTGAAAATGATAATGATAATAATAGTAATAATGAATGGTAATTACAAACATAAAATAATAATTATGTTTTTCACACTTTTAAACTTGTAAACAAATACAAATCGCAGTATTTTTGTTTATATTTAAACAACCGCTTATCTGAGTGGTTTGTTGAGACGGATTTCACACAGGAATGATTCTTGGTTTGCTACTATTATTCATTAGATAATCTGTTAGATTGTGAAGAAAGCATACATTTGTCAAACGAGTATTTGGACTTTACAAAAAATCTACCTAGCACATTTAAATGAGTTTTTGTCACGATTTAAAGATGAATAATCTACTTCTAGTACCTTTGTGTAAATATTTTAAATTAAATATTTAAAATCGGCTGATTTCAATTACGTTGGTCTTTAAAAAAATATATAATCAAATAGTTGAATTCATGTGTCGATTAAAGCTAGACCACCTTAGAAAACCTGGAAGCATTGGAGGGTCGTTTCGTCCTATTATGGGACTCCTCGGCAGTGCACATCCACGGTCCCGCCCTCTGCGAGATTAGAATTCAGGACCTATCGTTCTCGCGCACGAGCGCTTAACCTCTAAACTACTAAACCGGCATCCAACGGTGTTAATGTCTAACTTCAACCAATCCATGAGTTGCGAAGTTGACTCATGAATTCAACTATTAAATTACTATAATATCCACAAAAAACCTTCTCCCTTAATATATGTAATTCACAATCCACTGCATAGTGAACTATTTTAGGAATTTTCATAGTTTAACTTTGATCGATAAGATGACAGATTTATCCTTTTAATAAATCTGTTACTATGACAAAACATCTAAATGATTTTATCTTAAATTTTAATGATTATCTATTTGTACTTAATTTATAGTTTAAATTTTTCTATTGATAAATAAACCATTTAACGGTAATTTGTTTTATTTATAAGAAAACATTATCATTGAAGTTATGATTATACAATCAATATATTAGACTAATTAAACTTATTACAATTTAACATTAACCAATTTGTAATATACTTACTACCACTGTAGTGAACAGAGCACGGGTGGGGACAATCGAATGTATCTAACACAAAATTACAGGACTGGTTAGTAAAATCTAACAATCATAAAGTAAATGCTTAATTTGCAAAATGTCCACAAGTTGTCTCAAAATGACTCAGACTTGATTGTTCTTGCATTTTCATACAAATTGCATTTAGTTTCCATTCTTTACTGTTCGATCCTCTTGTCTCTCTGCTTCTAGACCTATTTACGACTAACATCATATAATACTTATATCTATATAAGTAGCACACACCGCACTACTACTACTATTACTACTACTACTACTACTACTACTACTACTACTAATAACAATAATAATAATAATAATAATAATAATAATAATTGTTTCCATGAATATACATACTTGTCATAACCAATTAACTACTGATCAATTAATAGGGAAAAAACTAATATAATATACTTGAATGAAATGAAAAACTCGGCTTTCTCTCTCTTCATATATATGTATGTATAAATAAACACTATTTGATATTTGAATCAATGTAAATAAATGCTTTAACAGAGTTCAAAAGCAGAGAGCACATTAATTTGTATTAGTTTTCAAAAACAAAATTCATTGTTAATTCATTCATATCAATATAGAAAGTTTTTAATAATAGATATTAAGTAATTTGTACAATATTTTATGGTTGTGGAACAAGTTTAATCACTAATACTTGATAGCAATTGTGTTGTATCTAGAAACGAGTGAAATATGAACGATTCGATCACTATTTAATGACGTAAAGGTAACATATTCGTTCACTCGCCTACAAGGGAACCTAAAGGAAACTGATTCCACTCATAAAGTATATAATAAGTTGACAGGGTTAAAAAGTTGTTCTTCCTGGTCTACAGATATTTCTCAGCTAAAATCGATCAATGATAAAAAATTTTTTGATTTGAATCAATCTCTATGAAGCAATCAGTTGAAGTGTTTTGTGAGCAAAAATAATTGATATATTATTCTATGAGATCGATAATATGTAAAGTATGTGATGGTTTATGCTGAAATGCATCTAAACTAAGTATGGAAAAGATAGATTGAGTGGAACAAAGAAAAAACAACAGGTCGAAAATTAAGATATCAGTTCCTGACAAAATATAATCTCAAGACGTTAAAGTATGTACTCCCTAAATAAATAATCTTCCTATGTCCCAGGGAAAAAGCCATGATAGTTAATGTTAGGGTAGAAGATATCTAGTGATTTATGAGTTGTGGCGAAACGATAGCAACTGAAAAATGCAATTCATCAGAAACCAGATAACTGCCTAAATAATACCATCATCTTCACAGAGCACGAAAACGATTATTACGATCTTGTGTATATATTTCACTTTACAGTCCAAAAATAAATTAAGACAACTACTCAATCCCATCTATCTTTCACTGATTTTATATATTAAATGGTATCATTCATTATTTCAAAACCTATACAAAACCATGTAAAAAGATTCAGTAGCATTGCTAAATCAAAGATTAAAGATCATTTAACTAAGATATTGAAAATAGGGTTATTCAAACGATAACAAATTAAGATTAGTTAATTAAATAAGTTGTTCGATCAAAAATGTGTTTAGCTGAAACATGAAAGAAATTGTTAGCAAAGAAGCAACATTAATTCCAGTTTTTATGAGATAGCTTTTAATATTTTAATAAATTTTATTTAGAATTCTAATCTTTACATCAAAAAAGATCTTGGTAACCATAATTTACTTCGTTTGATTTTCTAGTTACAACGATACATTTCGAACAAAATCGTTGTACTGAATAAATTATTCAATAATTAGAAATGGAAACACTTGAAACAAAAATATTGATGAATTACATAATTAGACAACTATTAAAAACTGACAAGTACTAGACAGCTGTTTTATATTAATATGGAATTCTTAAGTATGTATGTATCCAAGAACCTAGCAGTAACTGAACATGTGGTGTGTGCTACTTATATTAATATAAGTAATATATGACGCGAGTTAAAGAACGTAATGTCTGGCAGCAGAAGATGGGGGAAGATCAAGAAAGGAAGAGCGGGAACACAATCCAATTTGTAAGAAAACGCATGAAAAATAAAATGTGAGACAATGGATTGATGATTGCAACAGCAACAGTCCGGTTTGATATGATGGAATGATATTTTGCAAATTAACGATTTACTATTTGGTTTTTCTATTTTACCGAGTAAATCTGTAATTTATGTGCTAAATACACTCGATTGTTCCCACCCGTGTTCTTGTTCACTACAAACACACAATCTTCAAATTGTCAAAAAAACATTTAAAATTTTAGACTACTGAGTCAAAATCCAATAGTCCACATGTTTAATTCTAATCAATTCACTATAGTACATAACTCTTTTAATACTGTAGATGTACACTCTTGCGATATCATATTACTAAAGTCAAACAACTATTCAATGATTTCTAGTTTTAACTGATTGTCTAACTACAATCAGTTCGTGATATAATTTGCAATATAAAATAAAGTAAATCTAGAAGATTTAGGTAAGAAAAACAAGGAGAAAATGGAATAAAATAGTAAGTTTGTTTCCATGTATAATGATGAAAGTTAAGTACTGATTACATTATCACAAAAATTAGAAACAATCTGTATGTTTCTTTCTCTTTCTAAACCATTCTATACAACTACTTTTAAATTCATCTTTTATTTTTCCTGAATAAATTCAAAAAAAGAAAGATTTTTACTTCAAAATTGTCCAATTTCTTTAAGTTGATAAATAGAGAAAAACAAAACTCAATTTTATTCAGTTATTTTTCTTTCTTTTGTTTCTTTCTTTTTCTCTTTTTTTTTCTTATTTTTGCGATAATTTTTTTCTATTTGTTTGGCAAAGATTTCATACTAACCGTGAAGAAAGAAAAAAATTAAATGCTAATAATTATGTTGATCTGAAATATTTACAAACTAATCTTCCTTAGCTTTTCTAAGCAGTTTATTTTTATTTTTTATTTTTTTTTAAAATATTTTTTTCAAAATTATTCTCTATCGTTTGTATGAAACCAAAAAAAATTTGTTTCCTTTTTTGCATTATTTCAAACATGGATGTATTATGTTTGAATGAAGTGATTGTTTATTTAAGTTAAAATAGTAAAAATGATCGACAATTTTTAAATGCGCGTAATTTGAAAAATATAAATGATAATCGACATAAATCAATAAAATTAGTTATTTTGAATAATAAATTTAAACATTCGATAATTTAATGAAATGACTCTATAGAAATCATCAAGAAAATTAGACTAATTTTAAATGTTCACTTTAAGTTTTGTGATAATAAAGAAGTTTGTTTGTGAAATCCTTATGTATCGTTTCATTCATTAAGGTTATTTGTCCTAGTTTACAGATTGCCTAATTATTGTGTATATCCTTATAGGAAACTAAATAAGGTTGAAGTTGTAAATATCATGTATTGATAATATGTTGCTTGTTTATAAGCAGCCTATTGAAAAAAACTAACATTGATACTCTTAAATGTTCATACACACTGATCAACATTTTTAATGCTTTATTTTGGTATAAATATATACATCATCATGATGACTGATCCAATTGTATTGTCAATGTATTAAAGAGATACCATTACATGAATTTTTAAGTTGGTTTAGTAAATTAGTTTACCGATGTTAAAACAAAATGAAATTAAACACAGCGATCATGATAGTTCACGTTGTTTAATTAGCCGTGATTCATTGTTATTGTTTGATAAGAGGACAATGTTTGTAACTGTTAAAGCAAATTGATAAATTTCTGGTCAATATATAAATGCAGTGATGCAACGCAGTTGAATGAGATGGAAGTGTTCACTCAGACCACTAATTATCAGTGGCACTTTTGTCGGAATAATAAATGTCTCTGAACCAGAACGGTAACATAATTATGGAGAATGACTAACTAAATTCTAGATGAAAAAACAGACAGTTAATCAACTGCGAAATAATATTAATGGATGACTTTTTTAAATATGTACCGATGATGCTTTGAGAGGAGCTATGAAAACAATACGACAGAACCATCCAGTTCAGAAACCAACACACCTCTAAAATCCTGATCTTTAGCAACAAACATATTCCATTACGCTTATATGGAGAATAACAACACAAACAGCATGATTATATGTCATCAGTGACTTGATAATAACAATTTTCCGGGTCGTTCACCGATAAAAAGTGTGGAATTTTAGTGATCTTCATAATATTGTTTATGAGTCTAAAAGTTAGCTTTTTTCTAAAGTTCCCTAATTTGTAGGTGGTTTTCACTACGGACTGATGACATTCAAAGTACTACTAAGAAACAGGTAGCATTGAATAACATTTTTGTCAGAGTATGGAGAGTCATCGGATACTGCTCACTCTTCACCTTACAATAAACTGAACCATGAACCTTTAGATCTCATGGTAATCACCTTTCCACCAGACTAGTCTGTTACAAAATCACGCTGTATTCAGTATTTTTGAATTAAAATTCGTCGATATTTTACTACTAAAATATAATAATTATTCATATTTCAAGAAACTGATTTAATCAATGACAAATTACAATATAAAAGCTAGAAATGTTCACTTATATATACATATAATAAAAACTCAACAATTATAACTTACAATAAGAAAAATGTTAAATCTGGTATTTCTTTACCGCATTCATCAGATAACATAACAAATCGATATGCTGGTCTAGCCACAAGTGACCATTCATTACTTGATGTATACTGATCTATATCAACTTCAGTACGATTGTCTAAAAATTGTAAATCTAATTGTTCACTGTTATATGTCCATGATGCAAATTTTAAGAAACAATGTTGATAATCAAATGGAAAATTCTTTATATCAATTGGACAGTTTGATTTAAATATAGCTGGTGGACTCCAAAATACTCGACCCATATAATCAACATTCAACATAACATCACGTTTCTCTTTTAAACGTTCATCAGCACTGGAAATGATATCATGGGAGATGGTATGAAAATGTAGAACAATTAATTGAATATGAGCTTAATCAAATCAAAAGTGGGACAATTATTAGCTAAAAATGTTGAACGGATGACACTAAATTTTGAAATATCAACTCAATGACGATGTTGTGTATTCTGTGTGACTTAAATATCATAGGCTTGATGTGTTACGACATCATAGGTAGCGTTTATGAGTTACCAACTAAATTTCGTAGTTAAAATTAGATAACCATCCACCTCTGTTCAGTATATGTTGCTTAGTTTATTAAACGGTAACTTAGAATTGCTCTACGTCAATAATGTTCCTCTTATTTATATGAAAAACATCACTACAGATTTGTTCATACTCATTTTAATTAGATTTTATTAGTTCACGTCGAATATGTTTGTTGTCATGATGCTTTATCAGACGAATAAACAATGTTTTAAATTTTCAATTCATGTTTGCTCTTATAATGATAATATACAATGGGTTTATATATGACATTAAAAATGTCATACTACTTACCCATCATCTGTTTAACCATTTATTGTGAATAAATATTGTTTTAGAAATATATGTAGTATTCATTGCTAATTTATTCTAGCTAAGTGTCATGGTACTAGTATTCACCAATTAATAAACTAATATGTAAATTAATAGGTAATTACATAAGTTTAACTAAGAGATGTAAATTTTGTTTTAACTAAATGATAGGTCCTGGATTCGAATCTTGCGAAGTGGGATCGTGGATGCGCACTGCTGAGGAGTCCCGCAATGGGACGAAGCGGTCTTCCAGTGCTTCCATGTTGTCCATGGTAGTCTAATTTCAGTTGGCTCATGATCTCAAACATTTAAGTTACTATAATATCCACAAAAACGCTTCTGATATGAATTAACTACATGTGTATATGAAAACAATTTTAACTGACGCTTTAAAAAGCGTGATTAAAAAGCACAGATTGGATCATTCAATCAATTTCATTTTTTTTTAAATAAATCTTTTAAAACAAAGATAACTACAGGAAAAATTTGAGATATTCTGTCACAAAAGTCTCTTTATCGATGCCATCAAAAACTGGAATTCACTTGTTTAAAATTCATCACTTTACCCTGACTGAACAGGATTGTATTATGTGACAAGTTCGGATCACATCGTACACAGGGCGACCTGAGAAGTTATACATCTTTACTCTGTCTTACTCTAGAATAAGAAGTGATCTGACTTTGATCATATAGAATACTTAAAAATGATTTTGAACTTGATACATCCTCTCTTCTTCTTCTTCCTAGTAGATCAGGACAGCTCAAAAGATAAAGCAGGTGAGTTCAAAAGTCAAGAATGAACCAACTACCCATGGTATATTGATTTTTCCACTGAGTCATAAACTTTTGGAACTAACTACTGGGATTATTAGTATTCACACCTTCAAGTTACGCATTCAACCGAAGATTAGGCACTCACAAAAGCTTACTAGAATAGGACTAGAACATACAAATTTGAATTTCAGTATAATCAGACGTAATTCAATTATTATTTATTAATAAACCATTATTATAGACTTCATAACAGCTCAAACTGTTGACGGAAAATTTTACTAATCTGATATTGTACAGTTACTTGTTATCAATCATTCATATGTTGATGTCAAATAATGAATTACCTAAATTATTCTAATTGTTTATTCCATAACTGTTTCACAGCAGAAACCGAGCATTATTAGACAATCTAAACTCTTTGAGTCAGTTCATTCACAACAATTGCTTAGTTACTATAACAAATCAAGTAATATATTTTTCCAAATAAGTTGAATATTTATTCTTTTATAGCAAGTCAGTTTAAAATAGATCAGTTTAACTTATGAAACATTAAGTAAACATAAGGTAGATGAGAGTAGACGTAAAAAACTAAATATTCTTCCAGCTGATACTTCAAAATAGTGCATGTAATGTCCAGCCAGTTAGATTAGTGGCTACAACTTGAATAATAGGCTTTATTCATTTATAAAAGACTAAGCAAACATAATACTGACTACTATTCAATGATCAATTAACTGTTAGCATTAAATAAAAATAATGTGTCAAGTAATAATATTTTCAGATATTCCTCGAAGTTAGTTGTAGTTACACATAAAACAAACTAAATAAAAATGTTATATGATTACATGGGATTTTGTTTCTGAAAGATTTCCATTAGATATAGAATTACTGGAAACTAAATACTACTGATCAAGTGTTTTGTTGATGGAACAAAACTCCTCATCATTGTACAGTGATGATCAAATATTGCGATAAAAGTTGATTATCATTAGATTTTGCCGATGTTGTATGTTTTCATACTGGTATGTTGGAAATTCAGTTCAGAGTAAAAAATTTTCAACAGTTTTCCGAGTGATATATCAGTGACTAATCAATATTACCTTCAAGTTAAAAATAACATTATTACAAACGTTTTTGTTGTTACATATTGCCTAGAAAGAATTATTTATGGATACAATAGGAATGACAGAAATAATGATCTTTCGAAATCAGATATAAATATAAAGACATCCTACTTATATCCTTTGTTTAAAGTAAATAAATGCTTTAAATGTAATAACTATTAAATAAATAATTATATTTAATAAGAATATGATTCATTTTACTTACTAATTATAAAGTACAATGTCTGGTGTCCATATTACACTTGGTGGAATTCGTACTTCACGTATATTTGAATAATTAGCTGGATCCCAACGAAGTAATTGGTCAATCCATGTCTGAAAAATATAAATATATGATAAATGTAATATATATAATTCATGAGGCCTAGTTTGGTGTCAGTTTTATGCTATTTGGCACTCATTAGCAAAATGTACCTATAATCTTGAGGGAACTAGTCCTTTGTGAGGGATTCAATGTTGTGTCACCAAGCTTTACAGTCAGAGAAGTTACCATTGAGCTATTTGAACCACGACTGACCTATAGGACTATGGTGTATCTACACATGATCGATCACTAAGTAGTGATCAGTGTCATGGTTGTGGAATCCTACTTAATGTTAATTAAACTCTATCGATCAAGTTACAATGATGATTTTGATAAAAAAACACAGTCGAAGAATATTTATAACCACAATTGAATGTTGATAGGTGATAAAAACAATTATAGCATAAATATTGATTTTTATTTCATTTGGCTTTTTGAATTCAACATTTTAAACAATGAAGATGAAAAAATACAAAATTTCTTAAATGGTTTTAATAAGCAATCCATGATACACTATTGACTAAAATAATATAACTGATTGCGATAAATCACTGATGATTGAATTACTTTGTTTGAATTTGTCACTACATTTAGATACATGGTAACTTTGGTAGATTTGATTTTATGCCATATGATTTCAAACAGAGTTACATAACTTATTCTAAATCAATCGTTTTGGTGTAGATTATTAGTTACTAAAATGGGATATTTACATTTCTTAAAATATTAACTCATTATCAAAAATTTCAATCTACTCTAGAACATATTATAGTAACAAACATTATCACTGAACTATTCATATCATAGATAGCTTTTGTCAGTTGAAAATGTCTTATCTAATAGACTAAATGATTTAACATCTAGTAACTTAGGCAATAACATTTCAAAATGAAATATTGCAAAACAAACTAATTTTTTACAAACTTTGAAAATAGATAAATGTTTTTATTAATTTCACTGATTGAAATCATGAGTCAATTGAAGCTAGGCCACCCTAGAAAACCCGGAAGCACTGGATGGCCGTTTCGTCCTAGTATAGGACCCCTCAACAGCGCGCATCTACGATCCCGCACCCCGGCAGACTCGAACCCAGGACCTATCAGTCTCGAGCCAGGCGCTTAACCAACTAGACCACTGAGCCGGCATCCAACAGTGTTAATTTCTAACTTCAACCAATCCGCGAAGTTGCGCCACCGTACACTATTGTCAACAGTGAGTTGATATCTCACAAGTGCCTGGCACGAGACTGATAGGTCCTGGGTTCGAATCTGGCGGGGTGCGGGATCGTGGATGCTCATTGCTGAGGAGTTCCATAATAGGACGAAACGGCCGTCCAGTGCCTCCAGGTTCTCCATGGTGGTCGAATCTCAATTGACTCATGATCTCAAACATCGAAGTTACTATAATATCCACAAAAACCCTTCTGTTTTTATTAATTTAGATATTGAATTAAAATAACATTAAATTGTTTACATCCCTCAACATTGATTGTTATCCAACAATAATTAGTTTCAGTCAAATTTCCCTTATAATACTAACAGTGAATCTTCTCAAGACAGGGTTGGATGGAGAATGCTAGTGAGCGGCCTATGCTCCTTCAAGAGGAGTAACAGGCGTAAATAAGTAAGTACAAACAGTGAATAACAATTAGAGTTAATGTATTTAAATATTAATTCCATTTTAATATAAATATTTAACTTGAGGTACATGTCTTTTAGAAAAAAGGAAAAATGAAATGATCAAGATTATACTTTATTTTATTAAATAACAATAATCTTATTACAATAATTATTGACATAATGAAATCTTATTTTGATTGTGTAACTTTATGTTAATTTATTTCAGTTGTTTATGGATTTACTTCAAAAAATGGATTATATTAAATCACGAAACACTAGGAGTTCAAATTTTTGATCACTTGGATATCACAAATACGCTCAGTGGTCCAGTAAGTTAAGCGCTCGCGAGACTGAAGGCCCTGGGTTCCAATCCCGAAAGCGGGATCGCGGATGCGCACTGCTGAGGAGTCCCACAGTAGGAATAAAAACGGCCATCCAGTGCTTCCAGGTTTTCAATAGTGGTTTAGCATCAATCAGTTCATGATCTCAATCAAAAACATTATTTTATTATTAGCTTTCTACCTCATATTCGGTTTGTTTGAAATTATCAAATTTAGGCCTTGGTATAAACTTACAGTTATCTATGGTTTTTTTGGAGTTAATTTTCTTCATGAACTTACGTAAGGAAATGGAATCATTGTAAAACATGTATAATTGATTAGTTTATTGATTCTATCAGAAGACCTGTCAATTACGTGCATAATCAAATTACAAGAAATTTAGCCAATCGAAACAATGTTTAAAATATGATAATATAAATCATTTCATTCTAAAGGAAATCCTTCCTGAGGCAGAATTCAGATTACTGATCATTTAAGTGTTCGTTTTGAATCATACGCTCAAGATCCATTGAATACATGTGAATAGGTGTAGAAAAATATATTTTACAAGTTCAGTGACACATGATAAGCCCACTCATCCTAGTTAGAACTCTATTATTAGCGAACTTAAATGTGGGTTATTTCGTTTAGTATTTATTCAAGGTTAGCTCTCGAATAGATTATATTTTTAATCATGTACTAGTTAACACAATTCTGAACTAGTAATATATTGTGGTGCCTGCTACTTATATCGACATAAGTTGTATATAACGATAGTCAAGAATAGAATGTCTGGAAGCAGAAAGTTGAGAAGATTGACTAGAAATCAACAGGAACAAAAGGTTATTGGCAGGGAAAAGAGGGAACAGTGAAGCCTGAGACTATTGATTGACATTTTTAAAAGAACAGTCACGTCTAAGACAGTTGATTAACATTTTGGAAATTAAGTATTTACTGTATGATTTTCAAATTTTACTAAGAGATTTTGTAATTTTGTGTTCTAATACATTCGATTATCCCCGCATGTGTTCTCGTTCATTACAATATTGGTCATCATTAAGTAGACATACTGTTCACTGGATAAAGTGACGATGGTAATAATATTCTAATGTCAACCATGTTTTATTACTTTTTCTAAGCATTATGATATGAAAAAACATACATATGTTTATAATATAAAACAATATTCGAAAACCATTTATCTTATTCATATCATTGACACCATTAATCAGTCTTATTGATTCAGTTTCATTTTGTTTAAGTCGATGTAGTTCAGGAAGTAAACAATATAAAAGATAATTAACACCGTTGGATGCCAGTTCAGTGGTCTAATTGTTAAGCGCTCGTGCACGAGACTGATTGGTCCTAGGTTGGAATCTCGTGGGAGGTGGGATCGAGAATGCGAACTGCTGAGGAGTCCCATACCAGGACGAAACAACCGTCCATTGCTTCCAGGTTTTCTAGGGTGGTCTAGCTTCAATCGACTTATGATATCAACTATTTACCAACAAATAACAATGAATACAGTATACAACATATAATCATTAATGCTAACAAGAAATAAGTTGATACTATATCTGTATGTATATGTATACATTAGATATCTGCTTTCTTACAGTATGTAGTTTTTACCAAGAACAAATATATTAAATTTATCATTTATACAAGTTTTAACACTATTATTTCTCCTATGTAGAATGTAAACCGTAGACTATAAATTCTATTTTATTCATTTGTTTTTATTAACCGGATATTATTTTTATACTTTTTTTTGTTTAATTTAAATAACTATATTATTTCAAAACTCATAAATAAAACGTTACTTTAGTAACCATCATGTTAAACAAATATAAGATCGATTCAAAATAGAAGCTGTATATTACCTATGAGTATGATACTTATAATGTTACCATATTTAATTAAATAGATGTTATTTTCAATTTAAATGAATCAGAGGAAGAAGAATTCAATGTTACAGAAGTATAAATGTGATTATTTTACAGAGTAGATTGTATGTTTTTTTTTCTTTGAAGTAACCTTAGTGATTTTTTTTCACATAAAACAAATTTTACAAACAAAAGATAAAGAAAATGATTCCTCAACAATAATAATTGCCTTAACAAAACGAGAGGATATGATGAGTATAACAAGTTAATTGCTGTATTATGATGATATTTTATCAGGTTTTGATATTGTAAGGGATTAAGTAAATTGATCGTTATTTCGGTTGACAAATTTTACTGAATTTTATTCAATATTCGGATATTTGCTATGCGGATATATTATACATTTCGTTGTGTTGTATTTTATGAACTAGAAGAATTTTGTTATTCTTGAAAATGTATCTGTGCCTAGTTCTTAGGAAAGCAATTTTATTGAAGTAGGCTTAAATAGTCCTCACCAGTATAAAAGTGACACATTTACGAACTGATCAGTCAGCTCTGATAATGCAAAAATGTTCGAAAATCATACACTTGGACAACATATATCTTGATCATTTCAGTAGATCATGATTTAAGGGAAATTTTAATCATACTCAAGGTACCATTCCCTTTTCAAAGTATATATGACATATTTATTAAATAGACACTTGTCACTGTTAAAAAAGTTATTAATATTATGCGCTGTAGTTGTGATTATTCAATTTAAATTTCAACAACACGACATGAATTTGATTGGACAATTATTGAAGTCACGAGGAACTAAACAGTTGTTTTATTTCAATATTGAAATGAGAAGACGAAGTTTATCAGAATTATGTGATACCTTTGCAAAATACATTTCGAACAATCTGATCACACATAGACTTGTTAAGATAAGTTTATAAGAAAATTAAAGGTCAGCTAGACAGGTTAAATGTAAGACTCATGATCTCAACTGTTTAAATTACTACAATCTCCACAAAACCCCTTCTGATACTAATCAACATATGCTCACTAGTGACTGGCTTCAAGATATATATCCCGGAGTTCTAGTGAGAAGCACTGACCAGTGGAGTTCAACCGGGTCAGTTGTGAGGTAGTAACTCACTGATGACAATGGTGGATGAGTCGCTCAATTTCTTGGATTAGTTGAAGTTAAACATGAACACCGTTGGATGCCGGCTCAGTGGTCTAGTTGGTTAAGCGCCTGACCCGCGGCTGATGGGTTCTGGGTTCGGATTTCGAGGGGCGAGGTCGTTGATGCGCACTTCTGAGGAGTCCCACACTAGGACGAAACGGCCATCCAGTGCTTTCAGGTTTTCCATGGTGGTCTAGCTTCAATCGACTCATGATCTCAACTGTTTAAAAAAATAATATTAAAGTACACAAAATCAATGTGATTACCACTCTGGACAATAAGTCAGTAATACCTGGGTATGTTAAGTGTAAGGACAAATTGTTTTTGAATGCATAAAGGGGGTTTCAATTTCCGTATAGTCAAGGCTTCAATAAAGCTTAGTATACGTCCTTGAAGGCTTTTGTATAGCACTACAAATGCTGATTTGATGTCAACCTAAAGATCAGTCTCAATCAAATATTTCGCAATTGAGGATGATGTCTGCCTATCCTGTGATCTTATTTGACCACTGGAATTCATTTGTTTCTGCAACCATTTTGGTATGTGTTCACTCACTCCTAAGTGCAAATTACGATTGCTCCTACCTATGTAGGTGTTTTTACACATACATGTAAATTGATGGACACAATCGCTTTCGTACTGTTTGGGCTTTTGGTTAAACACAGACCTTGTCTTTTTGATGACGACAAGTTGGGCTGCATAAAATGTTCGGTTGATAGCTAATTTAAGTCTCCGTTTCAACATGAGACTATTTGTGTCGCCTCTGAATGATAACGTGATATAAACTCGCTTTTTGGGTGCCAGAAGCGTCATAGGTCTAGTTGTATTTCATCCCTTCCAGCGGTTTCTGAACTTCAGAGAATAACTATTTTTCATTAACGTATCAGTCAAGAGCTTCGTCTCTACTTCGATAGCATCAGTAGTACAGATACGATTGATTCTTTTGAATAAGCTCTTTATTAAACCACGTTTGTAATGAATGGGGCAGTGACTATGAAAATTAAGATAGTGCCCTGTCCATCTTGGCTTTCTATATGTAGAACGTAGGGTGGAACCATCATCTCTCCTACTAATCAGGATGTCTGGAAAAGGAAGTTGGTTGTTCTTCTCTTCTTCACATGTAAGAGAAATGTGCTTTTGACTTCTATTGAATTCTTTTAACAAGTTGTTTATTTCTTCACCTTTATCCCCTATGATTATTATATCATCAACATATCGTTTGTACAGACCCATCTTTCGAATTGAGTCTTCAACTAAATTTTTAACATATCCCATGAACACATCAGCCAGCAATGGTCCTAAAGGGCTACCCATATCTACACCATCTATTTGTCGGAGGTGCTCACCTTCAAAAGTGAATTTTACATTATCTGTACACAATAATAATAAATCTTTAAAATGTTAACAGGAAATGGCAATGGAAGGTTATTTAAAGAGATATAATCACACAAAATATCAATATTTTTCTCAGAGGTACATTTGTAAATAAAGTGTTCACATCAAAGGAGCACATTGTGTTTGTCTTTATATTTATGTCCTTTGAGTATTCAGTGAATTCAAATGAGTCAGTCAAGGAATACTTGCAATATTTTTTTCGGATAGGGTTTTATTTCGGAATCAGAACCTTTGACAGCATGAATGTAAAATCCTGTCAATGATCGGGCACAGAACAATCAAACCTCGTGACTAGCGCCTAATTCTAAAATTACTGAGTTATGATTCAGTAGTTTAATTAGGTAACTTCAGTTGATTCGAAATATTGCTTCACCATTGTTGACATATCTTTCGTTCCGCACACGTTCAGACACCACTGATCCCAGCTACTTCCTATAAATAGGGAATTTACTTCCATACGCTAGTCATTAATAAGCACTAGATGATGTTTTAACATAAACATAGGTAAACATTGCTGAATTTCATTGTTTTTCATCACATATCTGATGACGGATAGAATAGTAATGAAAATAATATTTGTCTTATAATTGAAGTTATTTCTGGTAATGTATTACTAATATTGCGATTGAATAGTTTTCTAAGTTGTTAGAAATTCATTCTTAGTTGACTACAGTGGCTTGATTTCCCTTAATTGCTTAATTCAAATAATTCAAGGTGCAATCGAATCACTTAAATTACGCATTTAGTAAAAATTACATTGTTTATAGGTACACGTATCGGACGCATTCTCTGTTAAATAGAAAATCTGAAAACCATACACTAAGTTCTTCATTTGTAAAATGTCAATCCATCGTCTCAGACTTCATTGTCCTTTCGTTTCCCCAGCAATCATTCTTTGTAATCGTTCTCTTTGCTGCAATCTTGTTAACCTTCTGCCTCCAGACATTTCACTTTCAATTGATGATACATACCACTTGTATCTGTCGATATCAGCAGCACACACTACAGTATATTGGTCGTTTCTTAATCACATAAATTTCATTGAAATCATAAACCGATCTATGTTAGATCACCATTGAAAACTTTGAAGCGCTAGACGGCAGTTTCTTAAGCGTTTACTCGCCAGACGGAAAGTCCTGTGTTTGAGTCTAGTGTTCAGGGTTGTGGGTGCGCACTACTAGGGAGTCTCATACAAGAATGAGATGGCCATCCAGTGCTACCAGTTTTTCAGTAACGGTCCAACATTTATCACATCATAATCTCAATGAAACACAAATAAACCTTATCTATTGTATTTTAGGAATGATTACTTTACCGTTTAAGAAAATACATTGTATACTACTACTGCTTTCATAGATTAGACGAATTGCAGACAGCAGTGGAATCTAAGGTGCTCATATCATCTTATTTAGGACTAATTATCTGGATGTACTTATTTTTCATTGTTGATGTACACACTGAAACTCAAACCTAATATATTTCACAATAAATGCTATTGCATTCTACACTGTGCTATTGAATTCAAATAACCAACAATTAGTTTAATAGATCTGATGTTATTATTAATAAGGTTTTGTAGTTTTCTTTTGTTGATATCCAATAAATTATCAATTTGTAATGATATTTTAAAGAAAGATTATTTATTTCTTTACTAATAATGATAGTAGTTAGCGGTATCCATAAAAGGGATTTTATGAACAAATGACTATTGTACAATGAAGTAGGTATATACTTCATATCGATTTAATATAGAATATTAAATGAATTAAATTTTTCTTCAATGGTCTTATATCAACTTAAAGTATCCTTCAATAATATGTTGTTTTTACGCTTCATTATTTTATACTTTTATTGATCATTATTTGATTGAATACAATAATCATTGATGCATATATTGAAAGTATTCAGTGAAATTAATAATAAAAAATAATTGTTCGTTATTCAATATTATTTCAGCTGATTCAGTATAGAAAATAAAATGATTTTACTGTATATATTAACACTTAAATAAAACCGGGGAGTCCCATAATAGAATGAGATGGCCATCCAGTGCTTCCAGCTTTTCAGTAGTAGTCCAACATTTATCGCAGCATTATCTCAATGAAACACAAATAAACTTAACTTGGTTAGATTTAACTTATCTTTACTTTAATCAGTGAATAGTTTGTATAAAACACATAACTTTGAAGAAACTTTATTCAATCGAATGTGAATATTATTAATAAGTTTAAGCATTAAATTGGATTATCAGTGACGATGTTAGATTAGTGTTGTAGTGAACGAGAACATAAAATAGGAACAATCAAAGATGAAATGACCGTCTAGTGCTTCCATGTTTTCCATGTTGGTCTAATTTTATTTGACTTTAAAATTCAATTACTAAATTACTATAATCTCCACAAAACCATTTTTTTGATAATAATCGAATGTGATTGAACACAAAATTATAAAATGTTTTAGTAAAATCTTAGAACCATACAGTAAATACATCATTTGCAAAATATCAGTCCATTGTCTCAGACTTCACAATTCTTTTGCTTCCACACTAAGCATTCTTTGTAACTGTTCTCTTTTCTTCGATCTTCTTAACCTTCTGAAGCCAGGTATTTCACTTTCGATTAATGACACATACTACTTATATCGGCTGATATAAGTAGCACTCACCGTAGTTTATGAATTTGATTATAGTTTGATTAAAAATAATAGAAAATACTATTTACAAGAAATAAAATCTTCATTTATACCGTTTTAAATTATCTAGTACTTGTGACACATTAAGATGGTAGAGAAGACTTTGTAGATCAAGTGGATGATTTAGGTGAAGTTTTATTCTCTGGGCTGAATGATTTGGTCATGGAGCTTTTATTGTTATTCTGAATAACATCATCAGCACAAACTTTAAGAAGAAGATAACAGATTGAATCAGTTAGTTACTTTTTTATCTTGTGAAAATGTCTTTAATTTGTTAGTTTAATCAATAAATTCAAAGTTTTTACGCTTTTTCTGTTGTGTATTGCCAGGATATTCATTGTTATATATAATGACATTTTGAGAAAAACTACTCTTTCTCCTTTTTTTTCAGGATAATTGTTGATAACATCAAGATAACCATTAACCATTAAAACAAAAAAAACAGTTTGAAAATAAATCCTTGAAAATGGATAAAACAAAATACTCTTTCTTCTTTAACTTACATATTTTGCCCAAACATTTATTGTCAATATTTGATTTTTCTCGTCTAAATCTAATAATTGAAATAATGACAATCCATAACCAACAACTACACGATCTTTAGTATTTTTTACTGGGCGTCCAATTTTACCAGCTTTTTCATAATTATCAATTAGTTGTTTAATTAAACGTTTCTCCGATGATGGTATTACATGTTCTAATAATGGAAAAAAAGTATTTGAATAATAATGGCGTAGAAAAATCCAAATCAATTTCATATTCAATTAAGAATAAATATTTTCAGATTAAAACATTGAATTTATCAAATCAATTTATGAATGATAATACATTTTACAGTTGAATTCATGAGTCAGTTATAGCTAGACCATCATGGAAAACCTGAAAGCACTGGATGACCATTTTGTTCTAAGATGGGACTTCTCAGCAGTGAGCATCCACGATCCCGCAACGCGAAATTCGAACCTACGACCTATCAGTCCTGCACGCGAACACTTAATCTCTAGACCATTGAGCTGGCATCCACCTGTGTTAATGTCTAATTTCAACCAATCCATGAAATTGCTACACCAATCACAATTGTCTTCAGTCTCATACTAGGATGAAACGGCCCTTCAGTGCTTCTAGAATTCACATTTTCATGAGTTCAACTATAAAATTACTAAAATCTCCCCAAACCCCCTTCCGAACGATAATAAACGTTTAACATTTAAATACAATGAAATTTCTGTGAATTCTTTTTAGAATATTCATTTTGTGTTCACAGTAATTTGTTTTCTTTTCAGTGTGACGAAGACACTTTGTTGTAAGACGAAAACAAGTACCAAAAATAAGTGAATTTGTTCTTATTGGAATGTTTCACTGAACTGTTAGACGCCAACTAGATGAGCTAACGTTTAATTATTTCAGAAAAAATATTACCAAACTAAATCAAGTCAAAAGGTATACTGATTCTATTTAAATAGTTTGGAAGCGAAAATATCAATTTCGTTAAGTGATTATGACAAGAAACAGTAGTTTTTTGCATGATTGGCGTCATTTTATGCTTTTAAAAAGCGTTTCAATATAAATATAGTTTAAATTTCATTCTACTAGGTTATGCCGTTAATTAGAAATGTTGTTGGCAGATATACTGTTTTTTATTGGAAAAACGTTTATGCCTCAAACCCGTGATACGCCAATGTCGACCATCCTGAGTTTGAGATAAATATTCGTGTTGTTGAACTGTCGTATATGCACAAGGACTGCCAAAAAATGTTATGGTTTACCAGTAAAATCAAACATTTTAAGGTAAAAATATATAAACGTAAGGTACGATAATGTTACTAACATTTTTCAACAAATATTTTACAGTTTGCTTGAAAACCAATACGTCTTTGCTAAATAATAATAGTCTGATAGAAGATAACTTTACCAATCTGTACAGGGAGAATAACGAACAATGTTGAGAGTTTCAGTGGAAATTGATACACTGACTTCTATAGGAAGACTTTAATTTATGGGCGACCTTTGAGCAACGATATAGTGGCCTTGAAAATGTCAACCTACTAACTAGAACTAAATGAGGGCTCTAAAGCAGTGTGAGGAATTAGAATTATGATTTGCAGTTGATGGGTTAAAATTAGATTTCGAATTTTCATCACAAATTGATATCAGATTTAATGCCAAATCAGTATTTGGCCAAATGAGTGGATGAATTCCGCGCTAAAATCTGAGACCTGTTGTCTCAAATATGATTACTTTGTCCATAAATTATAGTTTGGCCACCAAATGATTTATTTTAAAAGATTTCTGAACAGAAATGTATTTTAAAACTGTCTGGTTACTTTACAGTTGATTGGCTTCTAATATTTTAAGAATGGGTTCATACTAACAGCACATGATTGACACTTTCCCTTAGAGTGCCTTAGTTCCACGGAAAAAAAGTATATCGAGTGATAACGCTTGATCTGTAACTGTCAATGACTGTTCATTACACAAAGATAACAGTGTGTATGTATTTTGGCTTAATTCTAAATGAAGGTGACTACATAGTTTAATATTCTGCATTGATTACTGGGATGCCGAAATAAATTGCCCAGTGAGAATAATAATGTCGTTTTGATGGAGTTTTGTTCTCTGAGTTGGATGGTTTGATCGTGGAGCTTTCATCGTTCTTCTGAACGACATCATCAGCACAAACTTCAGATAGAAGTGAAGTGTTCGAATTTCTCCATCTGCATTTCACAGCTTGTTCCATACACCTCGATGCCGATTGGTTCTTATTGACCTTAAATTTGTCGTTGTTTACTTCTTTGTTTTGGTTGTAACCATGGACCAAAGTTTGAAGTTTAAACTTTCTCATCCTATTGGCCAATAAATTTAAATGTTGATCTCCAGTTTATTCAATTCACGTCAGTCAACATATGCGATTCACTTGGTATTGTTTACCTGAATCTTCCTATTGATGATTACGACTGCAATTATTCAGTCTCTTATTGGCATATGTGTATCCTGTCCGGATTACCTCGATATTGTCTTCAGTCACAAACATCATAAACAAGGATGTATAGTGGCTAGCAGTAGGATTTAGGACTCACGGTTTGTTCTATTTTGGACTTGTCAGAAGGATCTACCTGCACCTGAGTTGATGTTGACTCTGGAACTCGAACCTAGTACCGTTCGCTCCAAATGCCATCGGGTTATCCACTTAGCTACTGATTCCTGATATCCACTTGCAGGTAAATCCAGCTCACGCGTCTCAACTAGGATGAAACGCGCGTCCCGGATTCCACCGCTAGACAATATCCATCTTTGCTTATAATATATATAATGTTTAAAAATGTACCTCATTATTTTATATGTAAAACATGAAGTATTTGGTTTTAAAAATGATCAGATAACATCTCATAAAATAGGAATTAATTTTGTTCTTAATTTTGAAATGAAGGTGTCATTTCAACTTATATATTGTTTATAAGAGACATTAAAAAACCTCAGCTTTCACACGAATGAGTTAGACAACAATTTTTTACATAAATTTCAAACTCACCACTTTATGATAGCGATGATAGGAAAAATGAAAAAAAAAGTACTTTAGTCTACACAGCGTTTGTACTGCATAAATTCTACTCTTTACACCTCGTTTACTTTGTATTTCTGACGATAGTAAAATGAATAAAAATGAATAAATTCTTTTAACTAATACTTTCTTTCTTATAATTATGAATAGTCAATTGGTATTCTTAATCAGTATTTAATATTTATGAATTTTTGTTGCATAACTACTGAACCATCTGAAATTTCATTGGAGTTTATTTTTTAACTTTATGAGATTTCCCTATATGAAGTGGTTTTATTCTTGTGAATAAAAACAAAATGTTAGTTCATGAGACAGTATGTCGTGAGATACAATTTTATGTTAATTAATGAAAAATGAGGTAGTTGTCAAGGCAATAATTGTAAATTAAAGATTAGACAAAATAGATATTTCTTAAAAAAAACTTATTATATTCACTTTTGTATGGATTAAATCAATTGTTTTCTTAGAGTTCAATTGTAATCTTCTCTAAAATGAACATAAAGTAATGATTCATGAAACTATTCAAAGAAGTTACAAGTTATTCTATCTATTGATTCTACGAAAAAGAATTCACTGATCTTTATATTATTGTTAAGATTAAATATCGGGCTGGTTATTGTAGGTTTTCATACGATCTAGGTATAAATTTCGATAAAGCAATGATGAGAAGCCGAAGTTTATCAGAATTCTGTGATATATTTGCGGAATACACTTCGAGCAATCTGATCACACATATACTTGTTAAGAATATTTATATATGAAAAATTAAAAGGTCAACTAGACAGGTTAAGGGTAAGTCATAACAAGGGAAAGATATAAAGTATATAATGCAAAATTTAAGTCTAGAAGGTTAAAATAAAATCACTCTTTATTTCAAACGGATGTTTTAAGCCAAGAAAAATCAAATTTAAGAAAAAAGAAGTATTCTTTCAAGGTTTCCTTGGAAATAATTCACTAACGATTTGTTTCAAAGATAAATTCTTGGTAAGTCAAATAAGAAATCAATCTCAATAAATTAAAACACTCTAGGAATAATGAAGTTGCCCATAGAATGCTATTTTTAATAGGTCAATTGTATAGCAAATTAATTTAAAATATACTATATAGACCATTATATCTAAGTAAGAAATGAAATGTTATTATGTCTGTCATAGTACTTTAATATTATTTAATCACGTACAAAACTTAAGTTGTAAATTATTAAAGAATTACAAACAAGGTACAAACAATTGTTCAATTATCTCTTACTTTATGATTTTGAATGGTTCTGTTATGCCTCGATAAGCATAATGAATGGTAACTTTTGGAATCCATTTATGGACCAATACTATGTGTGTATTTTTACCGTATAATTATTAAATAACTAAACTATTCATATTCATGTCCCTCCTATTATGAGCTTTATTTTGACCTATGAACTATTATTATACAATTTACCATTCTTGAATTATATCCTGTCTATTAATTACTATCTCCCTTATTCACAGCCACTTTGGGCCAAATCTTGTATAAATGTTGTTTTCTATTTTATTGGTACGATGTAATCTGTTTGGTTGGTATATAAATCGAGTATGTTTGAAATAAATGATTTATATTGCAGAGTCTGAGATTGATGTTCTGGACTTAACTGGCTGGGCTAGACAGGAAGCAGGACTGATAAGTACTCCAGACTGATCATACGGGTTTTACATGTTATTGGTCCGATCGATAATTCACTGCTCTCTAATCGGCAGTATCGTTACGTTATACATTAACAGGGCACTCAGGTCACAAGTTATAACAGGTTCTTTCTCGAATATCCTTTTATTCAATAAAATCATTGTTAGTTTACTCAAGGTGTTAGCAAAATGTATTTTTAAAACAAACAAATAAAAAATATCAGAAAGGATTTTGTGGAGATAGTAGTAATTTCAACAATTGAGATCATGAGTCAATTGGAGCTAGACCACCATGGAAAACCTGGAAGCACTGGATGGCCGTTTCGTCCTCTTCTCGGACTCCTCAGCAGTGCCGATCCACGACCCCGCCTCGTGGGACTCGAACCCAGGACCTATCAGTCTCGAGCCAGGCACTTAACCAACTAATTTTAAAAAAATTTAAATCACTGTCATAATGAAATCTTGTATTATAAATTGTAT